AACAGGTTCCGGAAAGACGACACAGTTACCGCAATACCTGCACGAAGCTGGGTTCACCAAGAATGGAATGAAGGTTGGATGTACGCAACCGCGTCGTGTTGCTGCAATGAGTGTCGCTGCGCGTGTGGCAGACGAGGTTGGCGTCAAGGTCGGACAGGAGGTCGGATACTCGATTCGTTTCGAGGACAACACGAGCGACAAGACGATTCTGAAATACATGACGGACGGCATGTTGCTGAGAGAGTTCATGACTGAACCTGATCTTTCCGGGTACTCGGCCATCATGATTGATGAAGCTCACGAGAGAACTGTCCACACCGATATTTTGCTGGCTCTGGTCAAGGATTTGGCAAGGGAACGGCCAGACTTGAAACTCTTGATTTCATCAGCGACGATGAACGCGGAAAAGTTCGCCGCTTATTTCGACGATGCCCCTATTTACAACATCCCCGGACGAAGATACCCAGTTGACATTTATTATACGCCGGCGCCAGAGGCCAACTACCTGGCAGCCGCCATTACCACGGTTTTCCAAATCCACACAACGCAGGGCAAGGGCGATATCCTCGTCTTCCTCACGGGTCAAGACGAGATTGACGCAGCCGAACAACAAATAGTCGATACGGCGAAAAAGCTGGGAAGTCGTGTCAAGGAACTTGTTGTCTGTCCAATCTACGCCAACTTGCCATCGGAGCTGCAGGCAAAGATCTTCGAACCGACCCCAGAAGGTGCTCGCAAGGTTGTTCTGGCTACCAACATCGCTGAGACCAGTTTGACGATTGACGGTATCGTCTATGTCATCGACCCCGGCTTCGTCAAGGAGAACGTCTACAACCCCGCCACCGGCATGTCAAACCTCGTCGTGACACCCTGCTCAAGGGCGTCCGCGAACCAGAGGAGTGGTCGTGCAGGTCGTGTCGGACCCGGAAAGTGCTTCCGCCTCTACACAAAGTTCGCCTACATGAACGAGATGGACGAGTCGCCCATGCCGGAAATTCAGCGCACGAATCTCAACGGCGTCGTCCTCCAACTCAAGTCGCTAGGCATCAATGAGCTCCTCGATTTTGAGTTCATGGACCCGCCGCCGACCGAGGCCCTCATCGGCGCCCTCAACCAGCTCTTTGCCCTCCAGGCTCTCAACCACAAGGGCGAGCTCACCAAGATGGGCCGCCAGATGGCCGAGTTCCCCACTGACCCGATGCTTGCCAAGGCCGTCCTCGCTGCCGACAAAGAGGGCTGCGTCGAGGAGGTGCTCTCCGTCGTCTCCATGCTCAGCGAGGCCTCGGCCCTCTTCTTCCGCCCCAAGGACAAGAAGATCCACGCCGACTCAGCGCGCGCCCGCTTCACCGTCAAGGAGGGCGGCGACCACCTGACGCTGCTCAACATTTGGAACCAGTGGGTCGACAGCGACTTCTCGCCCATCTGGTCGCGCGAGAATTTCCTGCAGCAGCGCTCCCTGACGCGTGCGCGCGACGTGCGCGACCAGCTGGCCAAGCTCTGCGAGCGCGTCGAGGTCTCGCCCTCGAGCTGCGGCGCGTCCAACCTGCCGCCCATCAAGCGCGCGCTGACAGCCGGCTTCTTCCCCAACGCGGCGCGCCTGCAGCGCAGCGGCGACAGCTACCGCACCGTCAAGAAGAACGCCACCGTCTACGTGCACCCGTCGTCGGTACTCATGGGCGTCGACCCGCCGACCAAGATGCTCGTGTACTTTGAGCTCGTGCAGACGACCAAGGAGTACATGCGCAGCTGCATGCCCATCGAGAGCAAGTGGCTCGCCGAGCTGGCGCCGCACTTTTACAAGCAGAAGGACGTGGAGGCCATGGAGGAGAAGAAGATGCCCAAGGCTAGGACTTATGATCGGTAAAGCGGTCGTGCTGTGTGTAGAGATTTGGTGGACGGATTGAAAAGAGGGGGAGGGGAGGACGTTAAAGGTTGGGTTTATGGAATAAAATGATCAACTTATGATACCGTATAAGACCCCTATTTTACCCAATGTATTTATCTGCCCTCTATTCACTACCTCACCCCTGCGTACATATCTTGATAATTAGCATGAGAAGAATCGCGGGTTTATCGTCAATCATGACATGGTACCAAAAAAGCGACGGAAAAAAAACAAAAAACTTAAAGAAAAAACTTGGTCTTGCACATGCGAGATCAATTATCAAATGCCAAATCTGAGCCGTTGCCAACCAGCCCAGAAGAAGACGAGAAAGACGGACTGTGTAGTATGTGATTCCCACCCTCATGATAGCCCGACCCACGGCTGAGCTACGCCTCATGATGCCAGAACTCAGGTATCCGTAGAAGTATCTGAGAAAATTTCCTTCGGCGACACGTGGACTACCTTGGCCGGTGGCGCTAACTTGTTCATCCGGACGGTTTAGTACGCTATCAGGATACCAAACCGACTCAGGATCCTCACACTCAACGTACACCACTGACATGTGTTGGGCCACTCCCCTTGCAAATTGCGTCTTTACAAAGTCGTCTCACATCAGCCTGCATTCTCGCTGTCTGAAATTCTGCGTACGTCCTTATGAAGCAGAAGAAAATGATGCAGCTGCAACAGAAAGCCATAAATCGCTGGGCGTGGGAGTAGGCCGATGGGGACGGAAGATGTTCCCAAATTCAAAAGGAAGCTACCAATCACGCACATGCCATACGTATAGCGCTCATCAGATTGAGATAAGCAAATGATATCAATGTTTATCTTGCTTTGCCCAACTCCAAAATCGAACCCTATCAAGGTAGAAGAAAAACGCATGTGAAGAGAAGAAAAACACGTTTCCTCCCTCTCTAATTCGATGAGCTAGCCTCCATCAACGAGTGCTGGCCTAATTTGCAGCATTTGAATAGAAGAAAAAACGACAAGAAAAGTCATAGAACGTCCACTTTGGTATCAATGGTTTCTCCGGTTTGCCTCCGACTCCGTAACGTAAATTTGTTTTGTTTTCGCTTCAATTTTCATCAAACGTCCCGTCATTGTCCTGTCCTTAACGTAATGACCCCTCGATCGGGCTCGTGGGCAAGCTGCGGACCCCGCTGAGATCCGTGCTTCCCGTGCGCCTGAGCGCTTGCGACATAGTCTCAATGTTGAGCTCGCTGCTCATGTTGAGGTTGTGATGGGACGAAATGGGGCTGCCAAGAGATTTGCGTCCGGGGGACATTTCCAGTCCCTTCACGGACGCGGGATTGCTTGTTGGCGGCGAGGTGCCCGGCCCCTGAGAAGAGACGGGTGATCGGATGGGTGAGGGCGAGCGGGCGTTGATGGACGAGAGGGACGTCAGCCCAGCGACATGGATGGAATCACGAGAACCTGCTGCGCCGCCGTGGCCGCCCTGCTCGGCTTGCACGACGTCGGCAAAAGAGATGAAGCTCAGCCTGCGCACGTCGGCATTATCGAGCGCATTGTAGTTGGAAGCGTCCTCGCGATCCGCAAATGCACGGAGCTCATCGGTCCATGATGCAGCCATGGAATCGGGAGGGTGAGGTGTACCGTTTCCGTTGGCGCCGGTGACAGCTGCTGCAGCTGGTTGATGCTGAGAGTGGGTGACAATCTCGACGCTATCCGGATCAAGATGGTCGTTTGTGATGGCTTCGGATGATGCGTCCAAAACGGGAGGGATATGGTTCTCGGTCTGAATATGCGACGGAATGGCGGGCGATTGAGGCTTAATTGACATGTTGTCGACATCTCGCTCGAAGATCTGGGAGCCCGCCGGGGATGGCACTCGCGGGGACGTAGACATTCCACGGCTTGGCGATGAAGGGTGCACGTAAGGCGATGTCGTAGACCGAGCTGAAGCTCTAGAGGTATCCCGTGTCAAGGAGGGGTTGCTGGTGACGGTCGTTGCAGGTTTGGCAGACGATGAAGACTTGTTGGAGACATTTGACTCTTCCTTCTTTTTGCCGAGTCCGAACAATCCGCGCACCTTGTTCTTCACGTCCTTCTTCGTGTTGTCCGATTGAGGCTCATTGTGGCTCGAGGCGCGGGGTGTCGCATCACCGCTTGTGGTGCCGGCCATATTGTGAGCGACGACGGCGGGGTGCTGTACGATCGTCTCGGCGATGTTGTTGGGGTTTGCCTCAACTAGGCTCATCTTGATGCAGGGTTGTTCGAGTCGGTGGTGTTGGTGGTTTTGGTGTTTAAGAGGTGGGATGCAGATGGATTTGCTGACACAATGCTATAGGGTGGTTTCTGTGGGAAAAGGGACCAAGAGTTAATGGAATGTCTCTCTTCAACAAGCAGGGACCCTGAGGTTGACGTGATGTTATGTAGGCCCAAGAAGAAAGAGAGGGGGGAAGGGACGTGGATAAATGAAGTCTGGGAAAACAGGTGGTGGGGGGACAAATAGATTGGCTTTCGGTGACCCTGTGACCCTGACGTATATTCCCGCGATTCGCCTTTTTTGGGTCACTGCAAGGGAAGGGGAAAGTGGAAGGGGGTGCAAGTGTGCGAGTGCGGTGATTGATTGTCACAGGAGCGTCCAGTCGGCGAGGCAGAAAAAAAAGAGCAGCGCATCGGCAGCAGCAAGCAAGCAATACATGCGCACGCCGTCCGCAGCAGGTAACAGCGCCGCCGCCGGAGACACCCCCAGCCAAGACAACCAATATGTTCTTTTTTTTTTTTTTTTTTTTTTTTTTTTTTTACCTGAACGGTACAGAGGGTACATGGACGGGGTTGGGTATGGGTTTGGGGGTGGTGGACATGGGATATCCGAAGGGTGGGATAATAGTATCGAGATGTACATACCAGAACGGTTCAATAATAGAGCAGCGCAACACCAAGGGGGAAGAACCGAGAATGTGCGCAGTTCCCCTGCGTGCAGAACTTGGGGAATGGAAGCGGACTAGCCGTTGAGACTCGTGAGCGATGGAGAAATGGGATGATTTACACGGAACGGCGTTGGTCTTTTTTGGATTGATGGCGTTGTTGGACGAGACGGTAGTCAGGTGTCTGTCTACGTAGCCCGTCTTGGTCTTGGTCTTGGTCCCTTTTAAGATCGTCTGCCGCTTGCTGTGTCACTTTTTGTCTGTGTCTCTTGGTCGAAGGCGACGAAGAGACAAGTAGGAAGAGGGGTGACCGAATCGCTTCTCTGCCGCAGGCACGCAGACCACGAAATGCAGCCAGTAGTCTCGTTCGAAAATTGGCGCTCGATAAAGACGGCCTCGAGAAGCGATCCCTGATTGACGAGCGAGGATTTAGGAAGCTGGGGGAGAGAGAAAGGCGGGAGCGTGTGACGCAACAGGTCCAGAGGATGAGCAAGCGGATTGGCGGTTTCCTGGTGATTTGACCCCTGCTGCAGGAGCCTTGTGGTGCTGATCTGTAAGAGAGGCCTAGGCCTGGTCTGCTGTGCCTTGCTTGTGGTTGTTGGAGACCTGGAGATGCTCCGTAAGAGACGAGTTCGGTTGGATGAGGTAGGCGGGTTGGTCCCGTTATTTGGTGGATAAGATGGATTGCTTTTCTGGTCTCCGGTGAGGCGGATTGCGGGTGCGGTGCTGATACAGTAGATGCGGGCAAGGCGGTGGACGTCTGTCTGGTGAAGTGGTATCAAGAGTGCCGGATGCAGCATATGCAACAATAAGGTACGGGTATACAGATTTATTCGGGCATGAAGCGTCAGGAAATGGCAATCTAGGAGCGAAAGAGAAGAGGAGGATGGGGAAGGGGCAGTTATTATCGCCTGTCAGGAGCAGCTTTCGCGTCGCTTCTCGGCAGTCAGCGGATCATGTTTTTTCGGTCCATTTACATGCACTACACTCTACGGAGTACCTAAGGTAAGGTAAGGAAGGTAAGTATGAATAAGTTACGGGATACTTTGGTTTCCCTTTCCTTTCCTCGCTCTCACGCAGGTTCCTGATTGCTTCCTGCCCAACGCTGCTCCGTCAGCTAAGAGAAACTAAAACGTTCCCACCAAACGATCAAAGGGGAACGGTCACCCGTCAGTCACCCGTCAACAACGCCCACTTAGAACTGCGTCCCTAGGTACGAATACCTCAGCAGCTTATGAAAAAAAAAAAAGGGGTGTCCCCGTCACGTTCCCACGTCGCGACGTACCCGACGTCTACGTCGCCCGTCGCCAGCCCCGGAGCTCCCAACGTTGTTTAGAGTTTTTGCATTGACGTGATGCCGCGCCGAAGGAAGTTGCTGCGGGTGACATGTCTAGCCCCCTTTCCTTCTCCCTTCCGTCACCACTCATCACTGCCTACTGCCTTGGTATACCTCGCAGCAAGTACCTTGGATTGCACAGGTTTCTACCCAAGTATTCTCCCAAGTATCTACCCACTATATCTTGTAAGGCGAGGTACTGCGAGCCTCACTATGTATTTGCATTGTGCCTTACCTCACTCTGTTACTCCCGTGCCGCTTATCCAGAATGACTATGACAAACCATCACAGCCCAAAGACACCCAGGAGAAAAGCCTTAGCAGAGAGCCCGATATCTCTAAAGGCGAACCGGACGCGATCTCGTCTCGCCTCTCATCTTTGTCACCGGCAGTAGTGTAGCTCAGGCACCGCGTCACGTCTTCTCCAAAGTGTCCCCCTTAAGCTTTCTTGGTTTAGGCCCAGGTTAAGAAAAGAAATCCTCCGCTAGTCCCCCCGTTGACTTCCGCAGCCTCCGATGGCCCCTCAACCGGCGTCAGGGGGAATGACTAGGCATACATTTTGTATGGTTTATAATGCTGGACTTGTCGAAACTCTGTCCGGACACATCCCCGTTGGCCTTGGAGAGAATCGTTGAACGTCCTTTCCCCCTTCATCGGCGAACTGTGCGAGCGCGAACCGATCGGCAGCCGTAAAATCGCATTTGACATATACTCGGTCAGTCGCACAAGCGTCGATAGCCATGAATGGATACGCGGGGAAACGAAGACGACCGTCGACCGTGAGCGGTCGCCCGGCGTTCCTCTGGCGTGTCTCGAGTTCCAGTTGGGATTACATCGGCTGACTGTCCGTGTGTTTCGTCCGTCCGTATCCAATATGTAATCTGTTTGGGACGCCCGACTAAAGTTCTCGTAGCTTTCTTTTCTTTTGCTCTTCCAAATTCTAACTGGATATCACCATTAATCTCACACGCGTCTTTCAGGAGTTCATTTCCTTGTGCCCTCCTGACCTAAATGGGCTGAAATGTCGAATGCGACCCGTTGACTTTCTTGTCGTCTTCCAAGTTACCCGATTCGGACGCATCGCCAAGTCTTCCCTTCTCCCTTTAGTCAACTTTCGGTAACCGTAGGGACAGCTCAGCCTAGTCTCGACCCTGGACCCCTTCTCTTTTCACAATGCAGCACGCAGTAGTGACCAGAGATTTGATGTCTTAGACCCCTCAACGACAACTTTTTTTGGTCTCGGTTTCTCTCGGGGCGTTGTTCACTGAGTTGAACCCCAGTTATGATCCCCATCATCAGTCAATCCCCAGTCCGCATTATCGTGTACGACAAGTCGGTGACTGCGGAATAGTAGCTCCATCCCTGAGTTTGTTATAGCATAGTCAGTTGACTCGCGTATTTCTCTTAAGTGTTCCCAGCGTCACAGCCCATGAACCTCTCGGAGATTCCCCCCGTCTGAAGTAAAGCTACTCACCGACCACCGAACCCCTAGCACCCTTGTCTCTCGCTCTCTCTTGTGTCTCTGGCTCTTTGCTCTTGTATCCGAAAACGCTGACCACTCTACATCCTTGAAGAGGGTTTGTTTGATAGCTGGTGGAACATGGCCGAAGAAACGACGAGGATCGCCCCTCTTCCCTGTTCAGACGAAAAAGTCGGGACTCGGGAAGCATGCAACAGAGAGGAGTCAGAAGACACCTAGGTTCTGGCGTTCTTGGTTCTGGCTTCTGCCAACATTGAAAAAGTTCTTCTCGTTCCCTGTTTTTGGCTTCAGACTGATCCCCCATCCAACACTCTCTCCACCCTCCCACCTCGTCAGCCTCGGTCCCGGCCTTCTTTCTTCTTTGACATGTTTTTTCCCCCACGGACTCTGCATCAGTGATCTCCATCACATCTGAGGGGTTTAGACAGAAGCATTAAGCTCGCAGGGTGCCCCGTCACCGATCCCATCACTGGGTCAGCCGTAGGCGCCCGCGGCATATTCCCTCAGAAAGAAAAAGATCTTCCAAAGAGCGGTCGTGATAAAAGTAGAGAGGATGCCAAAAGACAACAATAAGAAAAACCGCCCCGTGGAAGGACTCCTCTTCTGCCGCCTCATTCTCACTTACCGCTCACTACTCAGCAACAAGGACCCCTCTTTGCCTTCTGTACTGCCTATACTCTGTATACTCTGTAGACCCTCTTGCGCCGGCAAGGCACGAATCCCTGCGTAAATCGGGCTTCCCGCCTCGCTTTACACTTGGTCCCTGGAAAACCAGGCCCCATGGAAAGCACGTCACTGACAATTCTGCATAAACAACACCAATGCGTAGAATGACAGTAGAATCTTTCCAACAGCTTCTGATGGGAAACATGTCTACACGTGCTATTGCGGAAAATAACGCATTGTAATGATGCCTTCTTTCTCTTGGTATTCCTTGGGAAAAACACTACTCCACGTACCCAACTCCCTTGGCGCATCAGATGCTCTCAAGGGCACAAGGAAACTATGGTAAAAGCCGACGAAAGCAACACCGTTGCCGCGCCGCGGTTGCGAGATGCTTTCCCCGAAACCACAAAGTTGTCATTCTTGTTTTGTTTGCGTTTAACCTTCCTTCTCTCTCTTTCGCCTTTCACTGGAGCAACCGATAGCGAGGATCGGGGGCGGTAACGCGGAAGGTAAAGGGGCGCCCCCCGGAAGCTTCGCAGACGTCACCGGCGACGCTGCGCTGGCAAGAGAAAGCCAAGTAAACCTTGATCCAATCAGTTCCGCTTTCTCGGACCAGCCCGTTTTCCTTGGTGTCTCCAACTTTCCATTCTCCGTTGAATGTCTCGCGCGTGATAAGGTATGTCATGTGATTCTATCGATAAGAACGGGTGCCAACTTGAACTGAATGCCTGAGGCGTGATTGGGGAACGCAAGGCAACAGCGGTTTCCTTACCTAATCAATTCAGCATCCCTTTTGGGACAGCTCGCTCCACATGCTACATTACCTAAGCCAAATTTCCAATCGGCTGTTCGAAAAACTTCAGATCATCGCCTCAGGGTGTCCCATACAGCATCGCGAAAGAGCTTCCCCGTAGCACGCGACCAACTCATCAAAGCCTTCCTCCCCAGCGCCGCAGTCGACCCGTCCGAGACTCACGCCGAAGCGACGCTGGCCGTGCTGTCACACACTCTCTCAAGGAAACCATTCAATTGGCCATTTCAAGCTCCTAACCGACGTCGAAAAAAGAAAGTGAACGAGAGAGACCACGACTGCGAAACACGGAACTCTTCCCAAGCTTCATCATCACAACCTACGACCGACAATGGAGGCCAGGACATTGACAAGACCAGCCGCAACGCTGGCATCTCTCCTCCGCCAACAAGCAACCACCACCATCACCGTCCCCCGAAGAGGCCACAAGACCTTCTCCCGCACAAAGCGCGCCCTCAACATCCCTCCCCACCCCGACTTCCTCCCCTCGACCCCAGCTGCCGGCGACACAATTATCTACAACCCGCCCTCCGCCGCCCCCTCCGTCTACCATACCCCCTTCAAGTTCCTCCCGGCCTCCGACCCCCGCCGCCGCGCAAACCTCTCCGCCCTCTTCGCCTCCGCCTCCCCATCACAATCTTCCTTCTCCGCAAAATCAACAACACCCCTCCCCCCGGCCCTCAACGTCCCCTCCCGCGGCGCCAACCCGCGCTACCACCTCTCCAAGGACGACGTCGCCGAGATCCGCAAGCTCCGCGCCCAAGACCCGGACTTCTGGTCCGTCTCGGCCCTCGCGCGCAAGTTCGACTGCTCCGAGACCTTCATCACCATCTGCACGCCCGCCCCGCGGGAGCACACGCAGAAGCTCGCGCAGAAGCTCGAGGCCATCAAGAGTCGCTGGGGTGGTATCCGCGCAAAGGCCCGCGAGGACCGCTCGCGCAGAAAGGAGATGCTCTTCCGGGGTGAGCTGTAAAGAAGACGGACGCGAAACCGGAAAAAGAAAAAGAAAAACCTACTCGGAAAAGGAGCAAGACTGGACCACTTGGCAACTTGGGACGCTTGAGTCTGTTATTGTACTTCTGGCGATGAGATGAGAAGCATTGGGGGGAAGACCTGCTGTCCCGAAGCCTCTGCGTGGGAAAGCCGGGGTTCTCTGTATCACCAAGGGATGAAAAGGGGAAGGCGGCCCAAGGAGGGGCTAGACGTATGGCACATCTATTCTCTGTACCATCAAAAATATTAGGGGAGTGTCACAAAATCGGCTGGGAGAAATGTAGGATAGAGGCGGGTCACGATACGCGGAGACCGAAAAAAACTCCCATCCAATCTGTACAATGAAAGAGAGAGTAAAAGATAAGGGGCCATAGAAACTCGTGTATAATTCTTCTACCAACATTCGCTATCACACGGCATGAATCACTGGATGCTAGACGTCTTTAAACTTTGTATGGCTCATCTCTTTCTCTCTCTCACCTGGCTGGTTGTTGCACTTTGGCTCACAATAAACCACACACAGACTCCAGTTGACGTGAGACCTAAAAAAAGAGTTCACCACCGGTATGGCTACATCTCCTGGTGCGCATGCTAAGATTCGAACTTGGGTGCTCACTCAGCCTGTCGTCGAGTAAGGCTGGTAGGCGTATGAATTGATTGTTGACCGTAAACCACTCCACCGCCCAGCCAGCTTGTCCTGAGCCCCCGACCTAGAGGGGCGCCTGCTGTTGCTGGTGACAGGAATGGACTCGACTGAACCTTGATGGGGTTTCCTGTGTAGGTGTTTCTTGTATATTCAGGTGGAATGTGACGGTAATTGGCACTATCAGACTTTTTCTATCCATCTTTAACCCGGCAGCTATTCTTTGCTCGCCTTGGGCCAGCTTGCCGTCTTCAGTACAAGATCAAATCCATTCCTGCGTCGAGGCAGATTCCCCGATGGTGACCCCTAACTACCTTATCACGAATTAAGAGTGTGTCATCAAATCATTATAAAGCAAATATCCCGAAAAAAGGCCAGCCCTCAAAGCTGACGCATCGTAACGCCCGCCTTGTTCAAATCAGCCTCACCGGGGATGACTCTGTAGCACCAGCCACACCAACTCCGCCTGATGCCCTTCACCTCTCTTCCGAGGATGTTGTGATGGCTCTTCTCGTCGTCCCACTCGGGCACGCACGCACCGACTCTCACCATGCGGACTAGTTTGGTTTTCACCACGCCTCCGATCCCCTCAATCTCGTGCCTCTCGTACCCGGGGCCGAGCTGGGGACTCGGCGTGCGCTCATATCGCACAGTATCGAGGTGTACCTGGTCTGTGGCCGTCCACAGGTTCGCGCCGGTGACAGCCGCGTCCTCGGCATCACAGTCGGTCTCATTTTCGCGTTCCTTGGCGCCGGCGCAAGCGGTCTCGCGGCCGCAGATGACGCCGCGGTCGCCCTCGCCGATGCCCGTTCCCAGGCCGCCGAGGACTTCTCCATAATGAGCCCGCCATTTCCAGATACTGTAGCGGAAAGTGAACGTTAGCAAGAACAGGTCTTGTAAATCTTCAGCATAGTGAGAAAGGAAGGGGTCTCATACCGCTGGTAGTCGTGATCGGCCCCGCGCATGCTTCGCCCACAGGGCTGGCACAGCCAGACGCCGTCGACGTCGCATCGGCAAATCTCTCGTCTCACGGCATCATCGAGCAGAGGTATTTCTGGCTCTAGCGCGTGATTGACGAAAGTTGCGATGGGGGCCTTGGTGCAACACTGGCACAACCTACGATGACGCTCACGGAGAGCGTTGGAGGCTGGCGGCTTGATGGCGCAGTTCTGTTTACAAGTGTCAGCAATCAACTTTACTTGGTAAGCTCTCTATCCTCCCCGGGCCATTGCCTCATATGCTCTTGGTACCCCTTCCCATCCTTTCACGTCTGTAAAGGAATCGCTCCTTGGTGAGATGGGGCCAAGAGCATATGGCAAGGCATAGGACGGCATACCCTGCACACGACGGTCTTGCACCTTCGACACTCCGTCACCAGGTCTCGGGCACAGCTGCCGCTCTTGCCGTTGTAGTTCCGGCCATCTTCCATGTAATACCAGTTGCCGGCCCTCGCACGAAAGCGGAACGTGGACTCTGGGTCAACGGGGACGGCCTCGTTGGAGCAGTGCAGCGTCGAAGAGAGGAGAATGGAGCGGTATTGCAGCAGACCCTGGCGGACCTGGCGCGAGGTGCGGGCGAGACTGTCGAGGGTGTTGAGATCGATGTGTTCAGCTATTGACATGACGATGCTGCGGGAAAGGAGAATGCGGTGTCAGTCATGATGTTTCACCTGCCACATGCGCGTGATACGGGGGGAGAGTAAACGGAGCTTACGGATAGCAGCCAAAAGCCTCAGTAGCAGCACTCTGAAATGTCGGTGTTGGCTCTGGTACGGGAGCTGGTGTCACCAACGAAGCCGGGGCAATCGCCGGCTTCTCCAGCATGTGCTCGAGCTCGCGACTGCTTGAATCCAATGCATCAGTCGCGACAGCGGCGGCAGTTGCCAAGCGGCGTGCCTCGAGAACGTGAAGGGGCTCCATATCCTCGTCGTCTAGATCAACAAAGACGACCATGGTGGGCAGGGCCGTCGCGCAGGCGGGCAAGGGACCTATATGATTGAATTCGACAGTCAAGCAAAAAAGCTCAAGCTTGCGTCGCCGCCGATCTTGACTCGGTTCCTGAGACCCGAGCCGAGCTGAGCTGTGGTGATGGATGGGCGGGGTGGGGTTGGAGAATCCCCCGATGCCGCAGCTTTGGCTTCGTTCCTGACCGGGGGGGCCAGAGGATGGATGACGCAAGGTAGATCTTGGTAGATCTTGTGGATACAAAATGGAGAAGACGGTGCAAGCAAGCAGGAACAGATCAAGATTAGTGAATGGAATGAAAACTAAACAATAAGAACGTCGGTTCTCGGTTCCATCGCAAGTTGACGATGTCAAAGAGATGGCACCGAAACGGCAGGTGATGGAAGGATGATGTTGGACACTGCCAGGGGTGGGGGTTGAGGATTGGGATGGGGAATGGGAGGGTCACAGACATTGGCCCAGCTGGGAAGGTCTGGGCCAGATGAGATCAGCACAGTAAGGCACAGGACCTCGGATGGAAGGACACATGAGCCACGCTTCCACTTTCGTCACCAAAGCGCACAACGACGACTACGGCACCAAGCCTATTTAGATTCACAAAACTTATGCTCGAAATGAAAGCCGCAAACCATCGATTGACTACCATCGCCGTAAAATTCACAGCTGAATGAATGTACAAGTGTCGCCCAAGCTGGAACGAAGCACATGCGGACTTCACAGTTCGCACTATCCATGACGCCGTCGACGGTCGCATTAGCTCGAGCGCGCTGTGGCCCTGATCACAAGGAAGCTTCAGCACTGGTCGAAGCGCATACTGTGCCCTTTGGAAACGTCTAACGCGTAGGTTGCGTGCTGCCCACCCACTTGGCGGCGGGGCATCCCCCGAAACCCGGAAGCCGATACCCCACACCGAGCGCTCGACTACCGAGCCCGTCTTCGGCGATGGTCACCCCTTCAAATTCTTTTAGCTAATATTCCCGATATTCCGAGAGGACCAGTTTGTGAGATGGGCTAAGGTAGTCATTAATCTCAATGAAGTTTCCGTCCTGTCAACTGTGTCCTCTTTCTGGGGTTAACTTTATTTCGACTCCTTTTACCACAATTACCCGGCCCGGTTCTGGCTCCGAGCTTTCGCGGAGCTCCGGCCCGAGCGCATGCACCGGGCCGGTGATATGTCTCCACTCGCGACCGCAATTCATAGAGAACCGACACGGAAGACGACTCCGATCGCGACCGCCTGGCAGCTTTACACGCGCCGAAAATCCTCTGAGCAGTGCTTTTCTCACTCCTCCCAAGTATTCTACAAGTGTTAGAGATGGCGCAGATAATCTGGCTGCACCATCTCACAGGTCAGATACTACAAGCACCGCGGCCAATTACTGAGCGTTCAAGCTGTAGAATATGTTCACGTCGGGGGTTGGCATCTTGAATATCAAACGACAAACTCGGCCTTTATCCTTGTTTTCGGAATCATTCATCAGGTCGATGATGATAACACGTCTGTGCTGGGTTTTGGTGAGTTTGGCTGGTAATACGTTCGCGGTGTATTCAAACTTTTGGCCCTGTGGTCCAATCCTTATGCTGCTACTTGAAAGTCCCCATTGTCTCATTCTTACTTGTTTTGGACCTTCATTGAAAACTACGTGAGGGTTTATATTGGTCAGTGTGTAGTACAGTCACTTGAGATACTGCAAGTGCTTGGAGTGCATGGATATTGCTCCAAGATGTACAAGGCAGATTCCAATGTTGGTTCAACTGATAACCCCAATTCCTACTTTGTAACCAAGTTTGGGTTGACATCTTAACAAGTATCATCAAAGTTTCTAAACTGGGACATTTCGAGACTTAACATCTTCTCACCTTTGATCCATGTGTTGTTAGATCCATCACCACACCCGGCAGTCCATTGGTTAGTGAGCACAGCTGTTTGGTGAGAGGTCCTCTTTGACAGCAGGCTTCAGCAGTAGACCTGTTGACAGCGAGTCTATCTGTAGTAGTCAGCGGCTAGTTCGGCCGGCTACTGTACTTTGAGCATTCACCAGGTTTCAATATTTCCCACAACATGCTATTGCCAAGTCCAGTCGAACCTGCTCAGAATCTTGACGAAATGCCCAACACTAGCAGAGCCACGATCTAAGCCTCAAGACGGCACATCAAATGTCTCGAGGGGGTGTGCAAACAACCCAAGATCGATGATGCAATGCCGGTTGGCTGTGCTTCTTCCAAAAGAAAAAAGCACCTCACCAAAACAGGTGCGGAGGTTCCAGACTCGATCATCAGAGGGCGCAGCAGCACCACCCCGGCTCTCACATTCATGCCGGACTTTTGACAGCAGGCTCAGGCTCCTTAGTCTCGCAGATGATCTGCGAACGGGAGGCAGCATCCCTGATTCAGGGTGCGGTGGCGTACACAGGGCTGATGGCCCTGACCAGAAGGTCGGTTTCATGGTCTAGACGCATTCTTGTGTTGCTATATCTGACGGTGGCGGTTGCAGGATGGGGGGATCGGGTTAGGGCATTACCACCCGCCTCCGCCGCTCCGGAGGGAGCGGGCGACCGAAGACGCTCTGGAGGCGGCGTTTCCATCCTCATGATGGCTGAGCTAGTGTCTCTCGCATCCTGGATCTCTTGCTGTCTCTCGCTGGGACTACCAGGCCTGGATGAAGCATAGCTTGTCAGAGGGCTCGCCGTGGGTTCATCCTGAGCACAAGTGACAGCCTCTTCCCTTGATGATGCTCGATCTAGTGCCGTTCCCGCTGCGCGCCCTGCGAGGCAGGATCCGTTTTGATCAGGTCTGGCGGGATGTCCTCGGGGCATCTAGTAGATTCAATGACTCTAAAGACAGCCTGACAGACGAAAACCTTGTTCGCGAAGACCTTGACTAGCCAAGAAAGAGAGAGTGAACATCCACAATGGCCCGCTCGCCAAGGGTAGCCGTTCACCGTCAGAGTTGTATTAGAGCGAACACGGCGATTCATCATCGATCCGCCGAGCTAGACTGCTAGGGACAGAGGCAAAGAAGTTAGATTCGTAGTCGAAATATCGCGGAGGCCGAGACGAGTCTATACCGCAGAGTGAACTGGTTGCTCGATCTGGGATGATGCTACAAGAACGGTCTCATCCAAAGACGTGTGTGGCCCCTCTGCAATTTTAAACAATCAAGAGTGTTGTAAGGGTAGCCAGGGGACCAGATGGAGGGGAAAGACCACCGAGACCGAGAGAAGGATGCGGCGGCGGAGGAGGAGGAGGAGGAGGGGGACCAGCCAGTGATCTCCCGCATGGGTCGCACAAGCCAGGCCTTATTCATGGTTTGATGTGTGCGCGGGATCGACGAGCGGACCATGGTGATCAGCACAAAATATGCGAGTGTGCGAGGGCCGGCGAGCGGACGAACCACGGTAGTGGTGATGCATTAAAGGTTGCAGTGAAGAATCTCCGAAGGCTGTCGTGAGTTGACTGTCCGGGGGGAGGATGGGTCTGAGAGCTATAATAGATGCGACTCTGCTCTGCTATTCATCTGTCGGCACATGCGAGGGAAGTTCCCAACGCTCCCCGTTCTGTGGTTGTCGTTATGTCATCGGGCCAAGTTTGACAGGCGATGGGTCGAGAAGGGGGAGATGGAAGGCTGTAAGTCGATAGGAAGAGAGTGATCCACAGTCGTCCCAAGTCTGCACGAAAGAAGCCTCCTGTAATTAGCCTTCGTGAAACCAGAGCAGGGGTGCCAGGTCCGGGGCGTTGGACGACATGACATCAGATGGAAGAATCGGGTGTGAGTGGGTGTCGTTCATGAGGGAAGAGGAAGGGAAAGAGGCGTGCGGTCAAACAATCAGGAGAGACCAGCTGCACGTGATCTGGGGTCTTTTTCGTGAAAACAATGAGGATCAATAGTCGTCTGGTACTAAGTGTGCGAGGGGTGAAGCCTGCAGGTATGGTAGGGGTGAAGTTGATGGAAGGTGGAAACACTATGAAAGTTGATTGGGAGGGTGGAGAATCCGGAGAGTCCAGAAGCCCTGGAATTGGAATCACTGGGAACATCTGGTCAGGGACAAGACGAGAAGCCACATTCTACGGATCAAAATCAGGTACCCGTTGGATATACTCCGTACTGCAGTACCTTAGTAGAGAAAGGGGAGTTGGGACGAGGCTGAGTCTTTCCCCTTTGGAAAATCAGCTGAAACAGGAACAACCAGGTCAGGGGCCTTCACCGTGTTTGGGATGAAGTTGGCGTGGATGCCACTGGAGAAAGGCGCTGGCATCTTCAAACGGCCAAGTGGGACGCAGCCGCAACATTATATAAGCAGAACTGTACCAATCCCTCTCCCGATTGGCTGTAATTCTCCGATGAGCACGGCGGCCAGGTCCGATTGATCCTCGACCCCCCGCGAAAATCATGCGCTATCGCTGCCATCCCTTCCTCCCCCGACCCCCGTTCCTCCCGATTGCCCCGATTCTACCCCCGGCCCTTCCTAGCGCCGCTTCCAACTCCATCCCATCCAACGTCCCCCTTCTTCTGGGCACTCAAAGTGAACCTCAACTTCCTCCACCAACTTGCCCCTGAGCCTCCATCCAACATCTCCTTTCACCAAGCTGGTTCCCTGGACCGATCAAGCGAGCGATTCTTCTTTTCAAGCTTGATGCTATTGGATCAGAACATCGGACGGCGAGCAGAATTCGATATTGCCTGCTTCCATTCCTCCTCCCCATCCCCCTTACGGATAACACCCCTGAGCGAGAAGAAGTTTTTGCGCTCTGGAACCACTCCCTGAACCCGACTTCCCAGCTTCTTTGCTCTGCCCACTGTTTCCATCACTCAACGCTGGGGTTTCCTTCCTTGTTTGGATGTTTAGAAATTCGAAATGTTGTCGTTTTGAGTGGGCCGAACAGACACGGCTCGGAGAAAAACAAATGACGGCAGGACATAAACGGGCACTTGTAGATCACGGGATAACTAACGGGAGATCATTCTTGCTCCTGGACATTACGCACATCATCAAGAACGGTACGACATCATCAAGTGACGAAGATTTGGATCTACACATACCGTTGCATTCTTGAATAACATCTCCTCATCTTCTCATGTTCCCATAAACTTAGTTATTGAGCTCCGCTCTTTCACCAACGCTTCTGCACAGAAGACGCGCACGCCTTAATAGTATTAAGGTGTGATATAGGCTGTAACCTTCGGCCGAATCATCCTATTATGCACATCACCTCCGTCCAGAGCCCACAGACGTCGACGCCTAACCCCCGGCTATCCCACTCGCTATCCCCCGTCATCCCGGTATGGCATCACGGCCTTTCACATCGCTTCTTAGCAAACGTCCACCGCCGCCCAGCCCCGTCCACCTACAAGATACTCCTCCCAGGCTGTCCAAGCATGGTGGTGATCCTCCACAGGGTAAATACTCCGCGGGCAAATACTCCATTCGCACCCCCCGGCCAAGAGCCGTCCTCCACTCCCCTCCACCCCGCGGGCCTGCCCCTCTCTTGGAATCGTAAACACCAGACGACGGTTAAGCTCATCCCCCTACCCTAGCCCCGCAGACAACCCGCTCTTCGACCGAACGTCTCACGATGTCTAACCCAAAGCGATGGCGAAGCCGTACTACCGCCAGGCTAGCTCCAGTCTGGTTCAGGAGGCGTAGGTGAGGTGAGGTATCCGGACTGGATAACCCGATCTTTCGCAGCTCGAGAGCAACCCTGGTCCCCGGGAAGGAGGAGCAAGCATCCATCTGGACTAACATGGTCTTTTGGAAGGTCGAAGGCGGGAGGCAAGAGGCAAGAAAGAACGTTTAAAGAAGGCCTCGTTTCCCGTCTCTGGAACGGAATTCTTGTTTCTCTCCAGCCTCATCGCTCTGCATTCTTTGGTGATTCATTTGCCAGTTTCTTTCTTTTCGCTTCCTTCTTTTCCAGCAGCATCCTGTCATTCTCTTCTCGGTGCTAGTCGCCCAGCTCCCTTGAAGGGCCTTGCTTCAGTCCATTCCTTCATCACCAACGATCCAAACGAAACCAAACACGAACTCCATCCAACTTGCAAACACTTTAGCAATCCGCTAGCTTCACGATCTTTTCAGCAGACAACATGTTGCTCAAGTCAGCCGCCCTCGTCTGCCTCCTGGCTGAGCTCGGTCTCGCGCGCCATCACCAGCACCCCAAGCGCCAGGTCGCACCCTCCCCGATCTTGTCGAGCATCAGCATCCCGCCCCCTCCCTCGACGGGAACTGGCGCTGCCGGCGCCGCCCCCGGTACGGGTGGTCCGACGGGCATCTTCCTCAACACCTCGATCCCCGTCGCCACCCCTCAGGTCACGACCCTCACCGAGGTAGCAACCGTCACCTCTACCCTCGAGAACAATGCCACCGTCACCGAGGTCATCACCACCGAGCGCACCGTTACCGCTTCCGCCCCCGCCGTCATCCAGCAGCCCCAGATCATCATCATCTCCCAGGTCACCTTCTTCCAGTTCATCTCCGCCCTCGGTGGCGCCCCTCCCGCCGTTCAGCAGGGTGAGCAGGGCGGCTTCGTCGTCGGCGGCCAGCAGTTTGGCCAATTCCAGTCCGCCTGCAGCGCCGCCTGTGGTATGCAGTTCACCCAGTGCCAGAGTATCGCCGGACAGAACTTTGCCATCTCCCAGTGCCAGACCCAGCTTGTCAACTGCCAGAACGCCGCAAAGACCGCCACCGTCACCGTCTCCGTGCCCGTGACTGTCACCCAGACCGTCATCCTTCCGAGCGGCCCAGTCTCTGGAGGAAGCAGCCTGCCCTCTGCCACGCTCGAGAACGGCGGCTCCGTCATTGCCACCACCACTCTGCCCCCTGACTCTGGCGCCACCATCGGATCCGGAGGCGTCAGCTTCGTCACCGTCCCCGCTACCCCTGCTGCTCCTCCTTCTCAGACGCCCGCCGCCCCTGAGACCCAGGTCTTGACCACCACTCTCCCGGCCAACCCCGACTCGCCCTCCGGCTCCCCCATCGTCTCGGTGATCACCATCACCCGCCAGCCCGGTTCTGAGCCCTCCGTCACCGGCGGTGCCTCCGAGCAAGCCGGCTCCGTCGAGACCTCCGCAGTCGTTTCCACCCTTCCTCCCCAGTCCGAGGGCGGCGCCCCTGTCGTTTCCACCATCTACATCACCAAGACTGCCGGTGTTCCTGTTGCTTCCGGCACGGCTGTCAGCTCCGTCGACGCAATTGCCAGCGGCTCCGTCCAGACCTCTGCCGTCGTGTCGACCCTCCCTCCCAAGTCCGAAGGCGGCGCACCCATCGTCTCGACCATCTACATCACTAGAACCGGCGGTGGCGATGTCCCTGCTGCTTCCGGTACCGCAGTCAGCTCCGTCGATGCCGTTGCTTCCTCAGCTGTCATCACCACTCTCCCCGCCCAGTCCGAGGGAGGTCAGCCCATCGTCTCGACGATCTACGTCACTGCCCAGCCTCCCGCTCCCTCCAACGAGCCCGGTGCCTCCGGACAGGGCGGCGAGGTCGTCACTTCTGCAATTGAGACCACCCTTCCTCCCCAGAGCGCCGGCGGCTCCGCCATCGTCAGCACCGTCTACGTGACCGCCACCGTGTCTGGAGGTGTCCCCGTCGCCTCCGGTACGGCCGTCAGCTCCGTTGATGCAGTCGCCAGCTCCTCCGCCGTCGTGACCACTCTGCCCGCCCAGTCCGAGGGAGGCCAGCCCATCGTCTCAACCATCTACGTCACCGCTCAACCCCCTCAGCCTACTGGCGGCAACGGCAACGGCAACGAAGGCGGCGCGGCCTCAGAGCAGGGCGGCGAAGTCGTCACCTCGGCCGTCGAAACCACTCTCCCTCCCCAGAGCGCCGGCGGCTCCGCCATCATCAGCACAGTCTACGTGACCGCCACCGTCCCCGCGGCCTCGGCCTCCGCTTCCGCATCCATCTCCCGCCCAGCTGAGCCCCCCCGCCCCAACGAGCCCAAGACCTCCGTCATTACAATGACCCTCGCCCCTCCCTCCGGCTCCCCCGTCATCTCCCTTGTCACAGTCACAATCCAGCCCACCGCAGGCCCCTCGGGCTCCGGCTCACCTCCGGCCCAGACTGAGGTCGTCACCTCCGCCCTGACATCCACCATCCCCGCCGAGGGCACCACCCCGCCCCGCGTGACAACAGTCTACGTGACCGCCCAGCCTCCCGCCCCAACCTCCGCCCCCGCCCCTCCCCGCGTCGTCACAGTCACAGTCGGCTCCCTCACCGGCGTCGTCACAATCAGCGACGCAGCCCAGAGCTCCGCCTCCGGCACCACCATCGCCTCGGCTCTCCCCAGCGCCGGTGCGGGCGGTAACACCGGTGGCAACGGAGGCAGCGGCGGCAACGGCGGAAGCAACAACGGCGGCAGCGGTAACGGTGGAAGCGGCGGCAACGGAGGCAGCGTCGGCGGCGAGAGCGGCGGAAGCTGCCCTTCAGCCGCGCCCGTCACCGTCACCGTCAGCGCGTGCCCCACCGCTCCCGTCACCTCCGTCCTGACCCAGACCGTCTCGGTCGTGCCCACGTCCACCCCGGCTGCCGCCAAGCGCGCCGAGGAGGGCAAGCGCGACGCCGTCTACCACCCCCGCCGCCACGGCCACGCCTTTGGCTTCTGGTAAACAGAACGCGGGTGGTGGTAAGTTTGAGTAAGAAGAAGAAGCCGAGGAAGAGAATAGCTGTGGCGGTTGAACAGAAAGATGAAGCCTGGCAGGAACGCTAGCCGCTTGTCGAGTATGATTAACCCTGGCACACATTCCTTCCTCTTCTCTGATTTCCTCTCACTCTCAAAACGACATCATGGGATATCAAGTCAAACCAACAAAAAAAGATGACACTGAGAAAAAAATCAACAAAAAAAATGGGAATGGCAAAAAAGGGTTCGTTCTGCACATGATACAGATGAGATCGATTGCCTCTTGGCAGACAGCTGTGCTGGGTTCTGGCCGGAGCAAACGGAAACGCAAAGATTGTTTGGACGATTTTGGGTGAAAAGGGTTCATGGATTGGAGCATCATTCTTCTTTGGGTTTTTGTGTCTTTTCTTCTTCTTCTTGCATTGTCCATTGTTTCTGTCCGTTTCTAGAGTAGATAGGGCCAGGTCCCAATAACGGTCGATATCCCACGAATGTCAAAAGGATGCCACAACACTCCCGTTCCAAAGTTCTGCTGTGATGCGAATGCAGATGGCCATCTTTCCCCCAAACTGCGAGTAATCGTGCTGCACTACTCGTCTGATCCGCCTTCAATTGGATCCCCGTCATAATCAGGTAGCCCTCGGATATTGGCACGTCCATCCTCGGCCTTCTTCTTTCTCGATCTGCCCTTGGGCCTACCCCTTTTCTTGGAAACTTCATTCACGCTCAGGGGCAAAACTGGTCTAGGGTCTCGGCTTGATGAGCAGGCTAGTCTCCCGACAAAGGTTTTTGGCTTGGCAAACCTTTGCCCCACGTTTTCGCTTAAGTCAGAGTTGGATGGTTGTGCAATCATTGACATAGAGTCCGTTATCTGCGTGAGAGCAACTTCAGATGTCAGAGACTCTGTTCCGGATTTGGGTATGATTGAGTCCGAATCTTCTACTATAAAGGAGCCTGCGATGTTTGTGTCAGTGGTTTGATATTGGCTATGCTCTAATTCACAGTCTACGAGATCTCCACGGATAGCCATGTCTGTCTGGCCAGCCTTTAGAGAAGATCCCAGCGATGCCGGATTCAGAGCGCCCTTATCTTGGTGTTGGAGCATCTTGTGTCGTGCAAGTTCTTTGGAGGCAAAGGCCGAGACGGGAACCACAGAAGGTTGGTAGTAGTCGCCAGCGGAGCTGCTCGATGGCCGTAAGTCTCGTGCAGCTTCCTTGAGCGACTCTTTGAAAGCAATGTCTTCATCTTTTTCGACGTCTTCGCCGAATATGAAGCTCATCCACTCTGTATCCATGTCTACTTTATCTGAGCCTGGCACCGATATAGCATTTCCGGCATCTGTATCTAGTGTCTGAGGAAGGAAAATGGAGATTTCGACTTCCTCATTTTCTTCATCGGTAGGCCTCAAGTTTTGCTCACTTGGTTCTCGCTTGGTCAGAGTTGGTTTATCCTCGCTATCCGACTCAAACATCGGCGGTAGCTGTCGAGGCTGCGCATAGTGGCCATCGTCTGAGCAGGATTCTGCATGCGCGAGGGATGTGTCCTCGGAAAGTCCCTCTTTATCGTTGTAAAGGTCACCTCTCGGTCGACCAGCTGATAGAGTGGATGATATGGTCGGCAGCGGAGGTGATGAGGATCGCATCTTCTCTGCAGTGGCTCTTGGTTGGCCATCATTCTTGATAGAGGTGCCAAAGCGCTTGTACTGGCCAGTTTCCATATCATCCTGCGCCCTGTCATCCAGAGAAAAGTCCGTAAATGTGCTCATCGGGGGGTGGGCGAATCTCGAACCATGGACTACCGAGCTGCTTGAAATGAGGATGTTGCTGACTCCGGGACTGATCTTGACGATCTTGCGACTTGCACTAGAATCTTTCTCGAATGGGCTTTTTGTTTGATCTTCATGAGACTCGATCATCTTTTGCCATCGCTGGTTCTCACTGCATTCCGATGGCGCAACTTCTTGCACTGGGTTGCGACCGACCTGACCAATGGTGCTCCCAAACATTTCGGACGCTGGTTTCCCTGATCTCTCAAGCATTACAAGCTGGCTCAGTCGTCGAGGCACAGGATGATGTACCCTGGATGGAGACGATTCAACAAGTAATGACCGACCTTCCTTTTGTAAACGCTCAAGTCGGCTCGGTTCCTTTGGCAAACGCTCAAGTCGGGTTGGGTACCTATATGCTTTGAGCGACATCGAGGCGCGCGGAGGATTTTCGCGGCACGCAGCACTCTGTCCATGCTTTCGCTGTGTCGAAGATATTGTTTCGGACACTGGCAAAGCTCTATGGCCTCGCAATCCTGAAGGACCATAATCCTGCGCAGAGGTTTGAGACGAGGTTTGGACAAAGTATTCCGACTGTCGTAAGCTTTTCGACTGGGTCGTAGTTCTGGGAAGACGATTCTGAGAGCTTTTTGCCGTGATCTGACTTCCTCCGCCGTATCGAATATCCTCACTGCCGATTCTGATCCGGACGTCTTTGTCTCCGCCTTGCGTGCTAATGTAGCTTGTAGCTTTGCCTTGTAGTGGTCTCCTTCCATTTCTGTTCTGCTCCCAGAAGAAGCCAGATTGACCCTCAGGATGCTTGTTGCGAAAGCCCCAGATCTGGCGTCCTTTTGAGCTGCTAGCTCCCGAGAAATGCAGAGGTAGCGACTTTTGGACATTGATCCCAGCCCAGTCGCCTTTTTGTAGCAAACGGTGTCTCTTCGCATCCAAGAGCTCAGGGTCATAGTCAGGAAGCTTTCGTTTCTTGGTAGCATGCTGTGAGCGAGGCTCTTGTAGAATGCCGTGGTCTACTGCGACTAGAGGTTCCTTCCGCACATGCTGCCCTGGCGACTTCAACAGACAGTGATCCTGAGGAACATTGTGCTGGTTCTTCTGATCGTATTGGCGGTGCTGGCTGTGCCGGTGTTGCTGATGCTGCTGGTGTTGCTGGTGCTGTTGGAAGTGCGGCGAAATTTGTGATGGAACTGTAGAGAGGCGCTTCGTAGGATATGTCGAAGAATTGGCCTGCTGAGAGAAAAAGGAAATAGAGTCGAAGCCGGGCTTGGGAGGACCGTGAAGCCCCGAGCGAGCTTTTGCGAAGTACTGTTTTTGTTTAGCGATCTCCGGTTTCCAGCCCTTCCCTCGAGAATGTCGAGCCAAAGCTCCCTCGGTCCAGTTCATGGTATGAGCACGGCGGGAGAAGATGGGTTGCTGGCGTCAGTGAGGGATGAAGGGTTGATTCGTATAGCAGGCAAATGAAGCCAGAAATCACAGCATGAAGCAAAGATGTTTGGTCCAGCCCTCCGTTCTTCCAATCGAGATATCTTAGGTTGTTCAAAATCATCCTCGGACAAACCTAAGGTAGCTCTAGCAGGCAAGCGCGATTTCCTCAATCGAAATATTCTGTATTGCTCTTTCCTAAGCCGATTGTACCTAGGTATACCCATATCATGTCATTTTCGTTTGTTGCTCCTGCGTGGAAAAAGGCAGAAAATACTCCTGGTTGCAAACAAGCAGAAAGGGCAACAGCGAGCAAAGTAAGACAGGAAGTCGCGATTGCTGTTGCAGTTGCCGCCTCAACGAATGCAAAACGACCCCTATTTTCTGGTACAGTACGAATGTAGTGATTCTCACCATCTGTGCACTGGCGCAAATCCACTCTTTCCCACCCCATCCTGCAGGCGGAAGAATTTAAGAAAGCAGACGGGAAGGAAGGGCACACCCACTCGGTGCTTTCCGTTGTTGGGTCTGGGCAGCCAAGGCTCAAGCAGTCTCGTTGGATGCGGCGCCTCGCCTTGCCCTGCGCTTTCAGGCACGCCGCACATTGCGGGCGCGCTGTGACACATCAAAGTCATCCTCCACCCTCCACTTGGTCCCTTGGATCGTGGATATCCTCCATGCAAGTTCCAGAACGCCCTCCCGTCTTATCTCCCACCGCTTGGCCCGGAACGATACTCCGAAAATAACCACTGACCGCCGTCGGCCGAACACGAGTCTGACTCAACCCGGCTCTGGCAACAGTGTCGACTGCGCCCTGCTGTGGGCTCGTGTCGCGTCGCCATGCACACACGTCCTCGGCCTCTCCATGTGGCGCTTGCCAGTACCGAGACGCACTCCGTACCCCCCCTAAGGAATACGCAACTGGTCCCAGAAGAACCGACTGGCTTGTGAGAAAGACACTCCCGGTTCCCGATTCCGGTTCCCCACGTCGTAGTCGAAATTGAGGTTCAGGCCCAGCCCGACACTTGTCGTGGCCGACGTCACGGAAGCGGTCTTTGTCTCCCGGCCCTGCTTTCCTGGCTGCCTCTTGCAGTCTCCAAGATCTCCTGAAAGACATCGCACCGGAACCCATGATGGTATCGCCGCCATTCTGGGTCGGCTTCCCCTAATCGACCATGCCAAAGACGTCATTTTTGACCTCGTGAGACTCTCGATCGGGGGCCCTGACATGCCTCGCCCAGGTGCCCCGGCAGTGTTCAGCCAAGTCCCGATCGTGGCGGGTGGCAGCCGACCAATGAGAGAATTACTGTGTGTCAACGCCGACCACTCAGCGACGAGACCGGCGAATTCTCGTTGTTCGTAGAGTTCGGACGATGGGAAATGACGGCTTTTCGCATGCGATTGAAGGGAAAAAAGTCGACGACGAAAACCAGCGAGATCGTGGTTGAAAACGAGAGAGGGTTGGACTTCGCAGGCGGTCGGTCGAGATGGGTCTGGTCCATGGACTGCCGGTGTGGGATGCGGACATCGAATGTCGTCGGAGCAGCCGACCGCAAAAGTCTTGGGCCGTGGTGGTGCTGCCGTGCCTCCTTTGCCGGCCGTTGCCGCTGCTCCTCCTTGCCCGGTCTCGGCGACCTGGTAGACGAGCCGATTCTGCAGAGTCCTGGTCAATTAACGAGAGGAACACCACACAACCGATTCATCCACACTCCTCCCCCATCCCCGCCGGGCCGGCGCCCAAACCCAACATGGCTGCTCCATCCACATTTTCCAGAATCCAACATTGCGGCACTAGCCCTTGGGTTGGGACCCAAACAGCAATTGTCCGCCGTGGACGGGGTACCTCTGACTGCACCTCATGTTCGCAGCGTCCCCATGTCACCGCCGCGGCTCTCCACCGAGTAAGCTTGTCAGCTGCCACACACTTCACCGAGGTCAACGACACCCCGTGAAGTTACACATCGTTGCCCGTCAACTGGAGTCGCGAATGGCAAGAGAGGGAAAGGTGCTTAGCAGCCTAGGGCACTACGATAGCTGAGGAGCTTCTCGAGAGATTAATGCCAGTCTTTAAGGAGACCTTGGAACCGACACAGCTCCTGAGAGAATTCAATTATTCTGCACTTGCGCTTCGACCAATCAGCGCCCAACGATAAGCCCTCAATGCAAAATGCACCATCCCCCACTAGCGTCCCACACTTGATGCTTTGGAGACACCCGAGATGGAGGTCTCCTGCAGGTCACATCTGGAGATCAAGTTCCATAATGGAATCATCAAAGTTTTACCTGAAGTTTGTCTAGGAGCGGCAATGGTTTCCCAGAATACATTCAGCATACAGCCTGAATCAACCGTGGTGGACGAGTGAGATGTTGGGACGGACTATCCATATGGATACCTATGTTGAGGGGTAATCGTGTATCCGGCGATGGGACGGAGGTACCGCAGTCCTACGAATACCCTGCCGAGAGCAAAAAGTGCGGGGGAGCCCGACTTTGATACGCCGTATCATATTCAGAAGAAGAATGTGTGTGATATGGCCGACTGGAGACCGACTGAACATGCGACGAATGGACAGCATGCCGTTCCTCCAGCTACGTCTTACGGGAGGGGCCATGGACAAGGAAGAAGCAGAGAATCCAGCCTTCTTCTCGCGGTCCACTCCAGCTTTGTGCATCCTGCAGTGTCCAAGACGTTTGGGCTGCATATCAGCCAGATATTCACTCAGGTCTTGCAGGGACGGGTCACGGCAGGCCATGTGGATTGGGTATCCCTCCGAAGATAGCTTCGACATGGTCGATTCGTGGAGCAAAAGTTCGGGGGTTCCTTGGGGGTTCGCTGACGAAAACACCATCGAATATTGGCCGGAAGGACAAGTCGACTAGTGATTCCGAAGGTTTGGGCTCAGCAAGATGACCATCCCGCTGTCGGAGAGAAGTTGCGATATGGGGTTTCCCCCGAACTCCCCCCAAATGACTCGGGCCTGGTTGTAAACACACCGTCGCTCACAGGATACCGACAAGAAGCCATCGCACTGACCACAGATCTGACCTTTGGAGCGCATCTGGTCCAGAGCAACAACACACCCCACCTTTTGCCCCTCGCCGCCGCATTATGGGTCGACAGGCTCGATAGCCTTGTGGTGGGATATGTGATGGCTTTATCTGGGACCAGTCCAACTTGGGAGTCACGATGACACAGAGGTACAGATACCTTGGAGAATGAATAAGGGTCGCCGGGATATACCCCCACCAAGGGGTTACAGACTCGTACAAGGAGACGCACAAAGACCAAGACAATCAACGTTGAGGGCCGTCAAGATATTGCTACCGGGAGGCGGGCAAAATTTTCATGAGACAACCATCTGCACGACGTAGGCGGAAGCTATGCCAACGACAGGACGAAGGAAGCAACTCCTCGAGGATGGGTGTCTTTCCTGCGCCGCGGGCAAGCATAGCCATGGCAAGGGTTGGAGATTGATGATGATAGGGGAATTAGCGCAAGTGCGCGCGTCGCCGTGCCGCGACAAGTTGCGCCGGCGGAACCTGAAGAGATTTGTGCGATGGAAAGGACGTTACGATCCTGGGGCCGGTGAGGGTGTGAGACTCTGAGTGGCTGGTGCGCGGTGTATCGTCATCCTGGGACCTAGGGTCCTTTGGCGGGGAAACTGGGAAAGTCGACTCGAGGGAAAGGTCGTCAAGCTGACGAGATTTTGGAAAGTTGAGGTACCTGACGACACCCCCCAAAGCTGACCGGAAGAGTTCAGTGCCATCCCAAGGAAATTCCGCGCCAGGAATATGCACGCTGTCGCAATATGGCCATGCGATCGTCGGCGTGGAACCCGAGCAACCAAGTTGCAAGCGACGCTACTTTACCTCGGGGCATTCAGAACCGCCCAGCAAGCCATTCGCGGAGCCCGCACCGGTTCTAGGAGGCGCTCTAGTTAGGTAGGCCCGCGGGATTTACGACGACGAGAGTTTATTGAAATTCAACGCAGTCTCCTTTCCGTTCTGGAAGCGAGATTCAGACGAAACGCGGCCTTACGAAAAATTCACTGGCCGCCTACTCAACAGCGGCTGTTTTTGGGCATCAGAGTTCCAGGACCCTTTTATCGAAAGCGGTCTGGAACGGGACCTACTCTAAGACCTGGAATATCTCTCCTTGGGCTTCCGGCCTGTCTCCGAAAGGCGGATGCCACAGCCACAGCCACCGTGAGCAGCGCTACAGACACTGACAGCGACAATAGTGTAGGTACTCTGTAAGACAGTGCCTCAAGGATAAGAGGAGCGGCGCCAGCGACCCGACAGCGGCGGCGAGGGCGAAGGCGATGGGCACGGCGGCGGGCGACAGTGCACACGAGCACCCCAAAGATCCAAGGATAGAAACAGTGGACAGCGGACCGAAGGACGTGGGCCTCGTAAATGACATGTATCGGTACGTGCCCCGCGTTGTGGCACGGTGGCTCCTGTGGGTGAGAGGTACCTGCTTGGTCCTTGAATCGCCAGTGACGATACCTTGCTCTATCTCTGGCTGGGTCTTTACAGTCCGGTTTGCCGCACCCGTTTATTACTCGGTATACCTGCAATTTTTCTTGTTGTCTGTAGCCTGTACGAAACCTGGATACATAGTAGCGATTTCTCGAGGTGGTCATTGTTGGGTCGGTGGTCGCAGCTGCAGCAGCTAGTCGCAGATACTGCCGCAAGGGCGGTGCCGGGCGGCCTCTGAGTGGCTCGTCAACGGGCTACTGGGCGCACGTCGAAGTCATCGTCACACATTTTGATCAGTGATTTTCATACTTATCAGTCTTGGAGACTAGGGTTGACAGAACAAAACCACCCAAGTGGAAGCGGAAGAGGAGTTTCCCAGGGGCCATTTACGGAGAAGAGGAAGTTGACGATACCTCTAGAGGTGAAAGGTCCGCCCGTCGCATTTCCGTTTCCCACGGAGACTTGATGCCGGTGGTAGAGGACCGCGGGGCCGTAGCCAGGCAGTAGGGATACTTGAGAGACGTCTGATAGTGGCAGACGGGAGTGGTGGTGCAGCACAGAAAGGCAGGTTAAAGGGCGGGAAATGTGTGGGTGAAGAGGGTGGCCTGGGTTCGGGCAAAGTACCTGGACATTGTCGTCGTGGGACGTTGGGAACCGAATCAGAATTGGCATGTATCTGTGGTCCCCCAAACTCTGGGCTGGCGGACGAATGGGAGGGCACATGTTTCCGGGGCCACACCCCACCAGCCCACCCCTCTCACCCCACCGCAATCGATACCAGAAGCCAGAACCAGCCATACCCCTGCCGCCGTCATGGGCAGGCACTGGCAGGCCTTATCTTGGGCTGAAGGACCAAAGAGGGACCCTCGAGAGACCTCGAGAGACCTAGACAAGAGCCAAAAGTTACGGTTCTGTACCGGTTGTACATGAGCTTTCCTCGCCAACAGGGCCGGTCGTCTGCGAAACATCTGAGGTATCTCGACGGTACCTTGCAGATTGCTGGCAGCACCAGCAAAAAATAGAGCATCGAGCGAACTGGACTGCCTCTTTCTCACTCAAATCTGTCTCTCCCACCAGCGCCCGCGCCTGCCTTCCTTGCCGGACGACAGACAGAGGAAAACATAAAACCCTCAACCGCCCGCTTCGACTGCTCTTATCGTACCTGCTCTTTACTTTTCCACATCCTATCCCTCTATTCCTCCCGTTACAGTCATATAGATCATTTGATCTCTACTGCTCGAACCTTTTCCTGATCTCCAAATTGGACCTTGTTCTTTTTCCCGTTTTTATCACATTACACACACAACCGCAAAAATGGTAAGTCCCAAACTCTGCCCCACCACGTCATACTACTCCTATCGCGACCTGAGTGCTGGCGTTATGCTGTTCTCTCGAGTCACGATGCTGGATACCCAAAATCGAAGGAAGAAGAAGAAGAGGATCACAGTTACTAACACGTCTTTTCTCTCCAGGCGACAGAAGCTGCCTTCACTTCCAGGCCCGAGACCGTGAGATTACACCAACATACCCGGTGCTGAGCTTGGTGTAGCTGGAGTTCACTTCCAGCCGTCAGCTTTGCGCAAATCGAATAAGCAATCATGCTGACCCATCGAATAGTTGGCCAAGTACCTCAAGCTTGACCAGAAGGGCTCAATTATGGCCGAGTACATCTGGATCGACGCTGATGGCGAGACCCGTTCCAAGTCGAGGGTACGTTCACACAACAACCACCTTGTCTTTCTTATTCCCTCCTTTGGCTTTTTCATATTTCCCCCGGGCCCTTCGTGGTGCTCCAGACGCTCTAGCCCGCTATTCCGCCGGAAAATGTCACTCACCCAGCCCTTTCCTGTTGCGATGCGACACAGTTTGAGATGGCTCATGCCTTCACTCTGACATCTGTGTCGACGGTTGCATCAACGGAAAAGCTGGGGCAGCGGGTCGTCTTGCTCTGGATTCATCCCCTACGGGATGTCTCCGACTTCCGGCTGGGAATAGCGGGCAAAAAGCTGTGGGCGGGTGAGCAAGCGGCAGCAGATGCGGCGGCGACATGCACTGGGGCTTGGCGGGGGTCAAAACACACACCACCTGCCCCTCCAGTGCGCATTTCTGGTGGTGGGTGGTACGTACCTATTCCTGCTGCTTTGGTCTTGGTCTCTTCTTTCGAGGGCCACGGCCGGACTGGCTGAAAGGATTCGATCACGACTCGATCCTGCAAGAAACCCCACCCCACGTCCGCCTGGCTCCAAGTCTTTTTTTGCCTTGCCTACAGCTGCAGGGTTGAACGCCGCAGCTCGGGTATTGGAGGTCTTGCGAGTTGCTGCCGCATCATCAGTCCCCTCCCCCTTTTGCCCGTCGGCGCGTCTTCGGTAAACCGGTTGGCCAGCCGCCGGCCGAGGGTCGTTACTGTTCTCCACGCAATGCCCACGATCTCCAATGGGGCCACTGGGGGGTAGCTCCGCCTGGCATCGTCAGCCTGACGGCAAGGCGCGGCGCATGATGTCAGCCTTGATAGCCAAGATGGCTCACGAGTTCACCCGCGCATGCCTCTATTCGCAGTTGCATCATAGCGCCATCTATCATCATCACGTAGCTAACAAATTTGCCTCCATAGACTCTCAAGGAGAAGGAGTACACCCCCGAGGACCTTCCTATGTGGAACTTTGACGGTTCCTCCACCAACCAGGCTCCCGGCGACAACTCTGATGTCTACCTGAAGCCCGTTGCTGTCTTCCCCGACCCATTCCGTGGATCTCCCAACATCCTCGTCCTCTCCGAATGCTGGAACGCCGATGGCACCCCCAACAAGTACAACTACAGACATGAGTGCGCCAAGTTGATGGAGGCTCACGCCGCTCACGAGCCCTGGTTCGGTCTCGAGCAGGAGTACACTCTGCTCGACCTCAGCAACCGCCCCTTCGGCTGGCCCGCTAACGGCTTCCCTGCTCCCCAGGGCCCCTACTACTGCGGTGTTGGTGCCGGCAAGGTCGTCCAGCGCGACATCGTCGACGCCCACTACAAGGCCTGCCTGTACTCTGGCGTCAAGATCTCTGGTACCAACGCCGAGGTCATGCCCGCCCAGTGGGAGTTCCAGGTCGGTCCCTGCACCGGCATTGAGATGGGTGACCACCTCTGGCTGGCTCGCTTCCTCCTGGCCCGCATTGCCGAGGAGTTCGGCGCCAAGGTCTCCGTTGAGCCCAAGCCCATCCCCGGTGACTGGAACGGTGCCGGTCTCCACTCTAACTTCTCCTCTAAGGAGATGCGTGTTGAGGGTGGCATGAAGCACATCGAGGCTGCCATCAAGAAGCTTGAGGGTCGTCACAAGGAGCACATTGCCGTCTACGGTGAGGGCAACGAGAAGCGTCTCACTGGCCGCCACGAGACCGGCTCCATCGATTCGTTCTCTTACGGAGTTGCCAACCGTGGTGCTTCTATTCGTATCCCCAGAGAGTGCGCCCAGAAGGGCTACGGCTACTTCGAGGATCGCCGCCCCGCCTCAAATGCCGACCCCTACAGAATTACTGGTACGTTAACACTCACACAAATGCACATCGCTACAGCAAGCTAATTCCCTTCACAGGTATTCTGATGGAGACTATTTACGGTTCTGCCGAGTAAAGGGGAGATTGAAAAAGAGAGGATGGTATACCCTAGTTCAAGCGACGACAAGTCGTATTGAATATGCTTTTATCAGCGTGTCAAATAGATCAGACAAGGTCATTACGGGTCAATGAGGATTCAAACAAGGTTCAAACAAACAAAAAAAACACATATTGCCATACTCTTCTGCAAAGACAAACGTGAAGATCCATTTTTGAATTGCAACTACCGCAAGACGTCATTCAAGCTATGCACGGAGGACTTACGGAAGATAGCTGAAACACGCTGCTCCCCTCCGTTTTCGCAGTCCCTTTATTACACCCCCTCACCGTCTCAGCTCCTCCCCCCCCCCCCCTCCCCCATCACTGCCGTTGACACCGTTTGCCCGCAGTCGGCTTTCCATTTCCTGTTTTGGACATTTGTTGGTTTTGGCCAAGCCTTTTTGCTGATTTGGGTGAACATAGCCCCGGGGAAACACTTTGAGTCTGTCTATGCTTAGAGTTTGATGAGGAATGGCAGGGTGGTAAGGAAGGTATCCTGAGAGTCCAGGGACCCTAAGTATAGGTCAGCTTAGGTCAGGTAAGAATTACAGGGCTATACACTAGAGGGGAAAGGGCCTGGTTTTTTTTATTTGAAAAAAAGAGTTTTCTTTCTTTCTTGTAAAGGCCCAGCCTCTTATTCCCATCAGACGAAAGGCGTCACTTTTGTCTTGAGAAAGACACAAAGCCATTCGTTGTTAAGAGATTAATACACCGGTGATGAGGGACAAAAGCAGGTTAATGAAGTCAGGCTCTAAGTCGCTTCGCTGACTAGGTACCTAGGTAACGTAGATTTGACGTGTCTCTTCATCACTACTGGAGCCCCTTGTCTAGCAATGCTTATAATGTTGGAGTTTAGGTTCGATTTGGAGGCGGTGAGGGAGTAAGTCACCGACATCCCTCCATCCCTCCTCTGCCGGCTCGGAGAGGTGAAAGTTTTTCCATGATACATGGGGTGAGTTGGATGGACGGGGTGTCGGCAGTGCTTGTCATCGGGTCAGCCTTGACTTTTTTCTGAAGCTGATGCAGATGTAGATGCAGATGCAGCCTCAGAGGTTGAGGTCGGAAAATCCGGGTGATGTACAATTGCCGATGCGGTGTGTTACTTCTGTTTCCCTGCGTGTTGGCTTGGGAAAGTAGAGTGGGGGACTGTTTGATGGATGGGATTGCGCGGCGATGAGAGTATGCTTTTTTTTGATGGGATGAGGGTTTACTGAGTATAGATGTGCTACGTTACGGGCAGCCGGGACGAAAGGGGATCGTGTCGGGGTAGAAGGCCCGCAGTGGTCTACGTGTGGGCATGTACCTTTGCGTGCCCTGTGATGTGTTGGTCAAGAGTCTTAGATGGAGACCCTGAAGCAAGATATGATGCGTGTGAGATTTGGCGATGGTTGAATTGATGATTGCTATCCGTACCTTACTGAACCCAGCTACGTTGGATCAGCCATGCCAAATGGCGTTGAAATGATGACAGAGTGTCTGCAATTCATCTCGACGTACTGAGCTGTCGCGCCCCGAAGTCTTCATTCAGGTCAGATGTTTCAGTGAAGCAGAGCTCACTCTCAATTTCTGATTTCAAGAGCTCTCCATAATATCATCTAAAAGGTGGCATGGTGAGCTCTTCGGTGCGTTCGGGTCTGTTGAGTTCCAAAAGCTTGAAGGCCCCGGCCCCGCGCCTTATCTTATCGTGCATGTGGGGTACCCGCTAATCTCCAACAGGACTAGCCGCTAAGAAATTCTCAATTGAGAATCTTTTTTTTTTGCCTATCAGCATTTTCAACTCCAAAAAATTACTACCAACGTCTATCACGACGATACCCTCACATTTTGCGCTTCACCGCAACACCCAGCTCTACCACGCCAGCGAGCATATTTTTGCACCTCCTCCAACCACACCACCTAAGGGCACAAACGGCCTACACAACCATATCACAATGGCAGCTACCGTGGGACCCCTCCCGCAGGTGAAGCTGCCCTCGGGCCCGTCCCCCGTGACGGCCGAGCAGCGCTACTGGAAGTCCTTCAAGAACCAGCTCCAGATCCCCTCGCCAACCTCGTACCCAATCACCCACATCTCGTCGACCTCCTCCGATGGCCTCTTCGCCGTCACCACCGGCACCCGTGTCCAGCTCTACTCCTCCCGCACCCGCAAGCTCGAAAAGACAATCACCCGCTTCGCCGACGTCGCCCGCTCCGGCTCCCTGCGCCGCGACGGCCGCGTCCTCGTCGCCGCCGAAGATACAGGCCGCATGCAGGTTTTCGACACCCACTCCCGCTCCATCCTCAAGACGTGGACGAAGCACCGCCAGCCCGTCTGGGCCACGCGCTTCTCGGGCTCCCAGCCCACCACCCTGCTCTCCGCCTCCGACGACAAGACGGTCCGCCTCTGGGACCTCACGGCCAACGACCCGCTCAACACCTTCGTGGGACACTCCGACTACGTCCGCTGCGCAGAGTTCTTCCCGGCCACCTCCCCGTCGGGCGCCGGCAACGTCATCGTCTCGGGCTCCTACGACTCTACCGTCAAGATCTGGGACCCGAGAATAGGATCCAACGCCGCCGTCATGACCTTCAAGCACGCCGCCCCCGTCGAGTCCGTCCTTCCCCTCTCCTCCGGCACCACCCTCCTCGCCGCCTCGGGCCCCCAGGTCTCCGTCCTCGACCTCGTTGCCGCCCGCCCCATCCACCAGATCGCCAACCACCAAAAGACCGTCACTTCCCTCAGCCTCGCCTCCAACGGCACCCGCCTCGTCACCGGCGGCCTCGACGGCCACGTAAAGGTCTTCGAGACCACCGGCTGGAACGTCGTCTCCTCGACAAAGTACCCCTCCCCCATCCTCTCCCTCCGCGTCCTCCCGGCCTCCGACGCGCTCGACAGCGCGGACCGCCACCTCGTCGTGGGCATGCAATCCGGCGTCCTCTCCATCCGCACCCGCCTCACGGGCCCCGAAGCCACCCGCCAAAAGGAGCGCGACCGCGAAATGGCCGCCCTCCTCGCCGGCACCCTCGACGAGCACGACAAGGCCGCGAAAAGCAAGAAGCGCAAAGCCTCGGCCATGCGCCGCCTCGAGAGCCTGGGCGAGGGCCAGGCCGAGGTTATCGTCGCCCAGGACGCGCGCACCAGCGCGCCCAAGGAGAAGGCGTGGGAGAAGGCCCTGCGCCACGGGCGGTACGCGAGCGCGCTGGACCAGGCGCTCGATCCGCGCGGGAAAGATCACTCGCCGCTCGGCGTTCTGACGCTGCTTCTTGCGCTGCGGCACCGGTCTGCTGTGCGGGATGCGCTTGAGGGGCGCGATGAGAGGACGGTACAGCCGGTGCTCAAGTGGACGTGCGATCACATTATCGATCCGCGGTACGTGAGCATTTGCGTTGAGGTCGGCATGGTGCTCGTGGAGCTGTATGCGCAGTATGCTGGTGACAGTGCCGAGCTGTTTGAGGGGTTCAAGGCTCTCAAGAGGAAGGTCACGAATGAGGTTGATCGCGCGCAGACGGCGTCTTCTGTGGGCGGTATGGTGGAGAGTTTGATTCTGGGCTCTGCTTGAGAGAGGCTGAGGAAGGAAGTTGTTTGTACATGACATTTGTGATTTTCTCCCTTTGACTCTTTGATGGGTGGTTGGGTGGGTTTATACCCCTTTGTCTTTCGAGTTTCACATGGCATCTAGGGATATTTGTCCAAGTCGCGAGAGGCTTGAGCGCCGGACAATTGACCTCGATTTGATTGGCTCTTGTGGAGTTAGAGAAGATGGTTGAAACAACAAGACGTGCCGAGAAGCAAGGGCAGCTACGACTACGGCGTGAGAGACTTCGTTGTCGTGTGTATGCCAGAGAGGCAGAAGGCTAGGGGAGAGGGGCAGTGGAAGAAGACATTCAAAAAGGTGGAAAGGGTCGCATTATCTGGCTCCGTCTGAAGAGATACAGGACGCCGATGTGGATAAGGACTGGATCATCTTGGTCAACTTAATGCATTGCGATGGCGTTGGGGATCCGAAAAAAAAGGAGAAGGGAATTCAAAAGGAAGATAATTGTGTGATATAGAATGACTACACAAGACCTGATTTTCATGAGATACTGTTTGCTTGCCCCTACGGGCGCTCTGCACATTTGCAAAAGATTACGCAAGCTGAGCACAATGTTGTGATGGCATCTTGGCATCGGGCAAGGAGAGTCTCGCATATCGAATACCAGCGGTGACGGATTTTCTCTCGCATTCGAGCCCATCATCTCTGCTCTTGGGCTGGTCCAGGAGCGATATCGAAGATAAGAAAGGAGTGAGGCGAGAACCTTGCGTCGTCCTAACCTAGAATTTTGCGCATTGGACCTCTAAACCTGCCGAAGAAAGCTGTTTTGATGGCTCAAAGAGAGCTCCGGGAGAACTTGCCGCGTAGAATCACGCGGTATCTGCTTCGTTACTATTTTGCCACGGGGAGATCTGGTGTCCTAAACCGAAATCAAATGGTGCGGATGCTTTGGTTTCACCTAGTCGTGCACAGCTTCGGGCGAAGCCGTGTTCTAGGCCAAGTGACGAAGCAAAGTTGAAAAAGTCAAGATAGTACTGGGCAGATAAGACATGGAAAACCACATGAGCAGTTTAATCTTATCGATGCTCTGCTCACACCGACAGCTTCGATGTTTATGTAACAAACACTAGAGATCTAGCCACTATGCGTGGAGAGCTGAATTGGTTGGGAGACAAAGCATAGGCAGATATAGACTTCGATTGCTGAAGAAGCTATGAAATCATGAGATTCATCGATCCAATCACCAACACTCCCGAAAACCATCAACTACACTTTCTCAGTCTTTCATGAATCGTACCGACCTGCGGGTAGCTGGTGTGTCGCGAGTCGCACGTGGCGTCAACCGCGCCCGTCGAGCTGTTTTGAGTTCATCTCTTCCTCCATCTTCTTCCTCTTTGTGCCTCTGTCCCGAGAGGGGAAGTTTCCGAGAGAAGTGTTTTCCAAGAACTACTAGCTCAATCCATCAATTTTGACTTGGGTGATCCCGCACTGTTCGCTGATAAGTTCGCTTCCCATGGATACCTCAAGTCACAACACTTCGATTAGAATGGGGAGGGGGTTGAACCTTCAAAGCATTCACGTGCCTTCCACTCCTAGGTTTTTGTCAGGCCCAAAGTGAAAGCAAACTTGTAGAGAGCGGGAGTGCCCCATTTAATATGTGACTTGGAATACCCTTCTTTCTCATCTCTTAACCTGGCGATGTTCGATACCACCTAATCTCTCGCCCGTGCGAGATGCCAGATGCCACGACCCCCAGGCTCTAGGCTACCGATCACTACATGAATGTAACGACGACGCATCCGAATACGGGCAAACCACAAGCTTCTTCGCCAACCCAGTTCTCCTGGGCGGGATATTCTGCAAGGCGCTACCAACTACAGCAGCAAACATGTCGAGCTCGTTGCCAGTGCCATTACCGAACTCCGTCGGTATGCCCAACACGATCAACGCCACCTCTGATGCAGCGCCCAGCCTCCCGTACTTTGAACACGCTTGGTCGGTGCTAAGCATAATTGGTGTATTCAACGTGTTTTTGGGGCTGCTCATTATCGGAATCACGTCGTTCTCTAAGCTCACGGTCGTACCCATCGTCTCGTCTGCAGCTGGCGCGATCGCGAATGGACTCTATTTCCACGCGTACTATGACAAGCCGTATCCTCTTGCGAAGAGGGCTGCGGCGGCAGCCATTGGCGACATCTGCTGGCTCGTGAGTCAACCCGCTTACCTGTATCACCGGAGGTCTTATTCCTCAAGTTGCTAACGGAAGCCCGATAGATTCAAGAAGCAGGGCTACCCTTCTACAGCTTCATCATCCTCAACAGACTTCTGCGGGGGACGAAACGAAGAGTCTTCCACACCGTATTCTGGTCAACTCTCGTCCTTGTCACCGTCGTAAAAGTCGTGATCATCTACTACCGTCTCCTCCGGATCCTAAGGGAAGACGACAGCCTCCAGAGCATCATCATCAGGATCCACATTGCCTACTTTGGCCTCTTCGCCGTCAGCGAGTGCGTCAGCGCCTACTTTCTCCTCCACATCTTCGCCGAAGTCAGAAAGTCGTCAAAGGAAGCCGGTCTCCGAACGAGCTTCATCCGGTACCTGATGCGCAGCACAGAGATCCGCGTCGCTTCGCTGGCCGTGGCGGCGGCGATACGGGTGATTACGCATTCGTTGAACGTGTGGCAGAGTAGTCCCGCGACGAGATACGTGGATCGAGCTGCTTATGCTCTCGGTTGCTTCTTTCCCGTTATTATGTAGTAAGTTCTCACATGGTTTTCCGAAAGTCAGGATACAGAGTTGCTGACTACATTCCTGGTGACAGCGTCGACTTGCTGGCATCGAAGCTGCAGTTTACGACGCAGACGAATGATCCCTCTTTCGCTAGTGACAGACCACTGCGGGGTGCGGTATCGTCTGGGAAGACGGAAGAATAATGGTTTAGACGTGCACCGTTCGCTTTATAATACATGAAATCTTAATGAGATGAAAAGAAGTACCAATTAAATCATCGCATCCGCCATCTGTGTTCTTCATTCAGCCATCGTGCTAGAGTCTCGTGATCATGATCTAGTAGTCTTTCGTACTGATACGAGAACACCATACCTCGTGTCCGAAATCGTCATCCGCCACAAGAGAGCAGTGACCTGTGGTCTCGTTTTGTTGGATTACGAGGCAGAAAAGGGCCCTATTAGGTAGTTAGGTAGGGGTAGTAGGTAGGCAGTCTGGGCCCGTGCAGACGGACCCTTCTACCTACTTACACCCACAGAGGGATCGCGGGCTCTGCTTATAAACTTCCCCTCTTATATATATATAATAGACCTATATTAACTTATTAACCTAGTTATAATTAAAAAGTTTAACCTACTTATATATATATTAATACTAATTAATAATTAAATTATATATATATTTCTATTATAAGTTAATAAGGATATAATTATAAAAAAAATAGCCTCGATTTACTTTACTAACTATTTTAACTTATTAATTTAGTTTTATTTATTTAATTAATAATAAATAGCCTAGTTTATATTACCTTAACTCTCTTTTATTATTACTAATTAATAACTAGTTAACTAATTACGGGCCGTTAAGAATGCGCTTTATTATATATAATCTTTTTTATTAAAGCTATTATTATAAAAAAATTAATTATTTTATTATTATTATTAACCTCGTTTCTATTATTAATATTATTTTTATTAACCTTATTATAATTATTAACTTTTTTTTAATCGAGTTATTTATAAAAAAATTTATTTTAAATATATTATAACTAAGTACTATTTTAAACTAATAATAAATAAAAAGAGATTAATTATTAAGAGATTAATTTAATAATTACTAAAGTACTAATACTTAGTAATAATAAAACCTTCAGAATTATAAATACGTTAATAATAAAGTATTCTTTATAAATAATAAAATATTTTAAAATACTAAAAAAAAAAAAAATCTTAATAATAATAGTAATAAAGATTTATTTTATATTATTAATAAATCTACTTCTTTTTAACTTAATAAAAGCTCTAAAACTAAATTAATAAAAACAAAGTACGAAAAGTACTAAAAAGAATTACTAATTAATAACTAATAAAATCCTCTATTTATTACTAAAAATATAATTATAAAAAGCCTTTTTTCTTTTTTTATAACCTTTTACTAACTTTAATAACCTTTTATCTATATACCTCGTTAAAAAAATAAAATTTTCTAACTAGTAATAGTAACTTACTTACTATTATTAAAACGATTACTATAACTAACTTACTATTTATTTTAACTTAACTAACGTTATATTATAATTAAAATATTATAATTATTTTCTATTATATAACTTACTTTATAAATATATTATAATAACCGCTAGCCCTAGTAATAAATAAAAAAAGGTTAATAATTAGCTAATATTATTTTAAACCTATTTATATTTTTAAATTATAGAACTATACCTAATTCTAACTTATTAATAAGACTATATTAACCTAACTTAATAGGGCTTATTTAATATTATACTTACTTTTATAAATAATAAAAAGCTTAATATTTTTATCCTTTTTATAATAAGATCTTATTATTAAAATAATTTAATAAATAAAGAGCTATAAAAAGACTTTAAAACTAATTTTAATAACTAAAAAATAGGGGACTTTTTGAAAATAAAAAGTATAATTCTTAAAAAGCTAAGAAACTTTTTTATAAATAATAGTATTAATTTAATAATTAGGGACCGTAATTAAATAGTAAATAAAATTATTAATACTCTTAATACTTAATATTTCCTTATTTAGATTTTTAAAAAGATTATAGCTTATTATAACTATATTAAATACTTTAATATATTATATTACGATCCTTACTTCTTTTATTTACTACTCTTATAATTAATAAATATTAATAATCTTATTTAATAAATTAAAGAGATAGTAAGGGAGTTTATATAACCCTAGCTAGCTTAATTAAGGTAATTAAAACTACGACCTTAACCTTATTATTAATTAACTAATTTACTATTTTTTTTTAAAAAAAAAGAAAAAGAATTAAAAAATAAAATTATTATTACTTAATAGCGAAATCTATCCCATTAAATACTATACTTTAATATAAGTATTTTAAATAATATTATACTTAATACCCGCTAATTAATTAACCTTACTAAGCTTTATAATAATAAAAATAAATATAGTAACGAAAAATACGATATTTTTAATAAAAAGCTTTAGATTTTTAAAGTACTATATTAATAAGTAAGAATTAATAAATAATACTATTCTAGTACTTTCCTAAATATACTTAAGAGAAGGGTATTAACCTTTTATTTTAACTAATTTAGTAATACTTTAAACTTACTTAGTTTTAATATAATATATTAAAGGACTTAGGAGTACTTTAAACTATTTATAAATTATTAAAACTATTTTACTAAGCTCTATAACCTTTACTAATACTTTATAATTTGTAAAAATCTAAATAAGTCGAGTTAATAAATCTTATAAGCGCTTATTAATTATATTATAATTCTTTATAAAGCGCTAGTTATATAAGAATTTATTTTTAATATAAGTAACTAACTCCTTTATTACGTAAATAATATACTAAAATATAAGCTTATTATACTTAACCTAGTACTTACGTTTATTAGTATTTATTATTAGCTTAGTACTTTAATTAATATTATAAAAAAAGAGCGTAATTATAATAAATAGTAATAGTATTTTTAAGATAGTATTTATAATAAAGAGGTCCCCGCTACTTATTAAACTAACTATACTTATAATAGCTTTAATAAAAAGACCTAGTTTAATAAATAAAATTAATATAGCTACGGTATTATTAATAAAAAGTACTTTATTTATTATAAAACTAGTTATTAATTAACTAAGTACTTAGAAAAAGAGCGACGTTAAGTATATTAAAAATATAAAAATAATAAGAAAAAAAATAAAAAATCTATACTAAGTTTATATTTATAGTTCCTCGCTTTTTATAAAAGAACTACCCTTATTAATAATAATAATAATAATAATACTATAATTTAATACTTTAATAACCTCGATTTTAATTATAAAGATAATTATAAAAATAAAGTCTAGATCTTAATAATATATTTTATAATTATTATTAATAATAAAGCCCTTATAAATATCCTCGCTACTTAAGTAATAGAATATAGCCTTATAAATATTATTTTTATTAATAAGTTAATAAAGTTTATAAAACTAATAACCTCCTTCTTACTAAATAAGAAGTACTTATTAAGGGACTTTTAAAATATTATACTTAATACTAATACTACGGAATTCTTAATTACGGGCTACTTTTAACTCCTTATATTATAATAATAATAACTTAAAGTTATTCTTAATACTTTTAGAACTAATAAAATAAGTATTTAGTTTAGTAATAATAAACCTATAAAGTTATTAAAATTTATAATTATTAATACCCTATTTAATAATATTATTTTTTATATTTTACTTATTAATACTCCTTTTTTATACTACCTAAAGAATATAAATAAGTTAAGAATATATTTTAATAATATTAATAACTTACTAATTAAGGGAGATATTATAATACTTATTATTTATAAATAAGGATACCCTTAGCTTTTATTTTTTAATAATAAAAAAGCTATTATTAATTACTTAATAAAGGGCGAATTACGCTACTTATATTAGTACTTTAATTACCTTTTAGTTCCTTATTTTTTAAAATTACTTTAATAATTAAGTAATAATATAAAGATCGTAACCCTTAAAAAACTTATAAAAATTTATTAATAATACTAACTTAACGTAGTTACCCCTAGTTAATTTAAATTTATTTTATAAAATAATTACGATTTTAATTACGAGATTGTAATTAATATAATATACTTAATAAATTATAAGGGCACTAATTAACTAGTACTTTACGTCGTTAATATTATTATTTCTTTCTAAGTAATAAGATTTTTTATAAATATAATTACGAAATATATATAAAAAGCTTTTTAGCTATATTAAATTAATATTTATTTTAGTCCGCTAAACTAAATTATTATAAATATTAATAAGAACTTTAGTACTATAGAGTTTAAGTTTTTTTACTAAATTTATATTTATTAAAATTAAAAAAGTACTTATTAAAGCTTATAATAGTATTAATAAGGCTAAGAAATACTACGTAGTACTTAAAAAGGTATATAATATTATTTAAAATAAGTACTTATTAATAAGTATAGAGGCTATATTTTAAATTATAATTAAAGTAGTTAATAATATAGTTAGCCTAAATAGCCTCGTTCTTATACTCCTCGTTTTTAGAGCTTTTCTATATACTTTTAATAACTCTTTATTATTATTAAATATTACTTAATATATAGAAATAGTTAAAAAAGTAATAAAAGAAGTTTATAAACTTTATATTAATAAGTAAATAAGTAAGGTATTAGTTATTTAAAATAGACTAAATATTTCTTATATTATTAATTTATTATTATAATTAAATATTAAAGTTTAGTAAAAAAGTAAGGGATAAAAGGGCCTATTTAAGCTCGTTTTAATAAGTAATATTACTTATATAATAAACTTATTTTACGGCTTAATAAGTTTCTAAGTTATTATAATTAAACCCTAGTACTTAAAAAAGGTCGACCCCGAGCTATTAACTATAATAATAAAGTACGTTAACTACTTATTAATCCCTATAATTAACTAGCTAATTAATAATAGTACTACTATTAATAAAATCCTTAATAAAATTATTATCATAATTAATAACGACTTTTTATTATAAAAAAAGAGGATTAAAAAAATATTAATATAGCGCGGCTATAATAATATTTTTATAATTACTACTTATTTGCTATTTAAATTTTTTTTTTTTTTTAAATTAGTTATTAAACTTTATAATAAGGGTATTATTATTATACTAAGAGTACTTTTTATAAAATTTATTAATAAAGAGCTTTTAAAACTAATTAAGAGAGGTATAATTAAATTTATTTAACTCGGCCCTAAATATAAGGATATAAGGATATTTAAATTTTAATTTATTAATAAGATTAAGAACCTAGGACTTAACCTTATTAAAAAATCTTATTTAGTTATATAAGGATATAATAATAAAAAAAAAGAAATTTTTATATAATTATTAATAATTTAAAAAACTAGTTAATATTTAATCTTTACCTTAGCCCCGACCTTAATTTAAAAAGGCTATATTATTTAACTATAAGATATTACTTAAATATATATATAATTAAGCTAACCTCTTTATTATAAAGTTTTTACTTAATTACTAGCTCGGATCCGTTATTTATACCCTAAGGGTACGGTTCTATACGTTATATAATTATTATATAGTTTTATAAAATCTAATATTGATTAATAAGTAATATATAATAAGTATTATTTAAAAATACTCTAAATAATAATATTTACGTTCGATCTATACTTATTAATTTTAATAAAAAAAAGCGGATTATTTAGTATTATTAAAATATAAACTAATAATATAATTAGATTATTAAATAAGACTTTTAATTAAAAAAAAAAAACTAAGCTTAAGTACGCTAAGTTATTAACTAAACTAAAATAATAACTATTAGTTAACGAGCCGCTTATTTTTAATAATAAAATTATTTTATTAAAAAGTATTAATATAGTACTTAAATAAAAAAACTAAGGGAAAAAGCTTAAATAAGTTAACTTTTTAATATCGAATACTAAATAATAATTTATTAAATAGCAAGCTCGAGGTACTTATATTATATTAATTTATTAATTAAAAGTAGTTTTTAATACGTTATTTACTATTTAATACTAAGTAAATCCGTTATTTATTAATTATATTATATTAAACTATTATATTAAATAATAAATAAATTACTTAAACTAAGGGCTTATATTCGTATTATTAAATTTAACTATAGCTAAACGTTTTATTTTTATAAATAAGTTATTCGTAAATAATACTAATTATACTTTATAATTAAGTTATATTATTATTTTTATAAATAAAAAATAGATTAATAAGAGCTTTATATAGTAGTTTTTTTTCCGGCTTTATAAGTATAAAAGATCGACCTTAACAAGATTACGCTTTTAAAAGAAATTATATAATATAGTATACTTTTTAATTATATAATATACGTAATATACCCTAAGTATATACTTAACGTAATATAGTAATTTTAATATAAAAACTATTATATAATTCGAGATAAGTAAACTACTTTATAGTAGCGCTAGTTAGAAAAGTTAATAATAGAGGTTAGCTATAATAGTTAGCTGTAATAGTCGGCCGTAATAGTTAGAGGCGGCCCTTAACTATAGAAGTTCTAAACTTTAATAGTAACGTAAAGGTTTTTAAAAAAAGGGCTAAATAGGCTAATATTTACTACTCTTTAGAGCTCGTAAAGATTCTTTCTATCTTTATCGCTTCTAATATTACCCAAAGCTACTCTTTATTTAAACTAAATAAATTTACTAAATAAATTTACTAAATAAATTTACTAAATAAACTTATTAATATATAAACTACTACTTTAATAAGAACTTATTTTACTCTTAGTATATAGTTAGTAATTAGTAAGCTAAAGATGCTTATTAATAAGTCTATCCCTCTTAGGCTAGGCGCCCTTTTTAGCTAGCTCGACGCTATAGCTATTACAATTAATATAAGTATGCTTAAGAAGTAATAAAATACTTTTTAATAATATAAAATCTAGCTAAGTAATAATATAAACGCCGTAAATAGCCGGGCTAATATAGATATTAAAATTTAGTATATTAACGTTAGCTTAGAAATTATATTTTATAAAACTAAAAATCCCTCTAATACGGGCTATATTATAAACGTAAAGGAATATATAAAGGGCCTCTTAACCCTTAATAAAAAGGAGTATATAATACGGGATTTAGCTACTTATATAGGCTAATACTAAGAAGTCTTATATATATTAAAATAGGTATAGCTCGCCCTTTAAATAGCTAGAACTTAGAGGACTACGGGGGAAAGTCGGGAGTTTTAATTAGTAGTTAAGTATAGAGCGCAATATACCTAGTTTTCTTTAATACGTAATATACGGTACGGCCCCGGCAAATTGCTCTGTTAGGGGGAACAAGAGCTTTATAATTAATAATAATATTATTTACTATAACTTTATAAAAAATAAAAGGATTACTTAGAGCGTATTAATATTAAAAATTTATAGAATAGTTATAAGTATTAACGTTATTTATACTATCTTAACTACCCTAAACTTTATTATTAAATAACTCAACGTTTTAAAAATCCTTATTATAGTTTATATAGATTTATATTTACTATATAAATACCTTATTAAGCTAAGTATTATAAAAAAAAAGCGCTTTATAATAAATATTATAATACTTTAATAATTATATAAACGCCGCGAGCTTTATAAAATCTATTAAATTAATAATAATAATAACCTAACTAATAAGTTTATAAAAAGTATACTAAATAAGTCCCTTAAATAATTTATTAATAAAGGAATTATTATAATTAAAATAAAAGGGTAGGTAATACGTAGTTAAAATAATAATATATTATAAGTAGTAAGTTATTTAGCGAGTATATATATTTTTTAAGCCTTAGCTTAGAGAAAAATATACGTATTTAAAGCGTAATTAAACTAATAAAAAGCTCTTTTTTAACTATATTAAATTTAATAATTTCTAAAGAGTTTAGATATATAAATTATATATATTAGAGGATTAGGAAGTAATTAAAAAAAGGGGATAATAAAATTTTTATATAAATAATTATAATAAAAGCTATCTTAAAATTTTAGTATATAGTTTTAAATATTTTTAAATAGAGGATTAATAATAAATTCTATTACTAATTCTTATTAATAAGGGGGGCTTAGCCCCTATTTTACCCTTTTTTATTATAAAAATAAAAAACTATTAATATTAAATTATAAAATAAAAAAGGGCCTTATTAAGTAGTTAAGTAGGGGTAGTAAGTAAGTAGTTTAGGCCTATATAAATAGACTCTTTTACTTACTTATACTTATAGAGGGATTGTAGGCTCTGCTTACGAACTTCCCCTCCTATATATACGTAATAGACCTATACTGACCTATTGACCTAGTCGCGACCGAAAGGTCTGACCTGCCTACGTGTATACCAACACGTTTCTAGCCTGACTGCGAGGTTCTCTCTGAGTTCAACTTCGTGACAAACTAGAGCTGTCAACGGTTGAGGGGAATACGAGATGGTCCGATTTTCGACGTTGCATCGATCCTTCGCAAGGGTCTCTGCAACTTCTTTGTCTCTTGAAGCCGATTGGACCTGGCTTTCCTTCATTCTCTGCTAGGCGACTAGACACTCGCTTCGATTCGATTGACTGCTTACTTACACATGTTCCTGGCTAGAGCCTAATCGCAACAACACAACACAGGCTCTACTCCACTCTCGAGACCGTCCGCGCCCCTGGAGAGTCAGCTTACATGTAACCTTACGCATTCACCTACAAAGTAGGTCATCATCAAAGTTGCATTGGGGGTATGCAGATACAGTGAATGAATCCCAATATTGAAGAAATGCGATTCGGCTCAGTAGAGCTTTCCGATGTCACCAATAGTAGGCTCGCTTGGCAGGGCATGCGTTCTCCTTTTGAGTGTGGCGTTGACAAACTAGTGCGGCCCGCGATCCTTCGAGCATTTGAGCTTCCTCATGGAGACAAACGTAGGATCGCGGAACCGCCAGGGCAACAGAGCCGCCGCTTTGCCAAGGGTCCAGATCTTATGGTATAATGCAACCTCAAATAATACGACACGAATTTAGAGTCTACTTCATACGGTCAATAGGTAAATAACTCAAAACTTGCGAGAAACTATTTAAGACACATGATTTCCTCAAGAACATGTGGCTATTTAACTCTTCATCATCACCTTCCGAACAGTAGAATCACTCTTGATCACCTCGATCCAGATATCTTCAAAATGAGATTCTTTGTCGCTGGTATTGCCCTTTTGGCATCAGCTGTAAGTCTAAATGTAACCTAGGCAAGGAGAACATTGCGCTAAGAGCTATCTGACTAATTGAGTCTTCTAGGTTATTGCCGCTCCTTCAGACAATGGCTTGGAATTCCGAACTGTAGATGAGGTGAAGGATCAGCTATTGCCCATCTCCGAGATGACCTTCACTGGGCCAGTCGTCGACGGCGGCCCGAATGTCACCCTCCATGGAGATGCTTCCTCCATCTATGAGCAGATCCTCGCCATCAACCCTACCTTCAATGCGGAAGAATTCCAGGAGCCAGAGGGAGGCCTGGAGGTTAGACAGACTACCGTAAGTTTGCTGATAGACTTTTCGAGTCTACTGCACCTGGGTTGGAACAGAGAAGACCAAAAAGCTAACTCAAAGCAAAGAACAACTGGAATTGCAACCAAGGAACGTACGTCGAAGCGTACTATTCTCAGTGCGCCAACGCCATCAACCGTTTGATCACCCTGGGCACCAACTACTGCAGTGTACCTGCCAGCACCTGTGCTCGCGTGGCCTGCTCCAACAGCTGCTCTATCTACCTGTGCAACAACGTAAGTCGTCGCTCTTCCCTGGATTTCATAGTACCAAAGACAAAGGCTAACGTCAACAGCGGTTTATCGAGACGAGTGTGTACTGTAGTGATATCGCTATCGATATGGGCATCATTGTGAGCAGGTGTGGCACTGTTGCCAACGGTGATACCCGGGCGAGAGGCACCCTGAGCTTTCCGAGTCACTACACTTGTCTTACCCAGCAGACTTGCTAAAATGATCCTGTCCAAGGCTAGATAATTAAACTCAACTACCATACCGATATTTCTGAGTTTCACACCCATAATTAACACTCTGCAGCACATATTGTGAGGGTTTTGACTGAATCATCTCTTAGAACTACTAGCTTTATTGTGAGCCTGGCTTCTTGAGTCCATCCGGATGAATCTAGCATGACTCGACCAATAGGGACGTCACAGAATACATTCATGGAGCTCCGTATATTATTGAAAAACCTATGTCATGTCATGGTTCCTGACATCAGGGACCTGTGAGTGAGACCAAGACGGGAAATCTTGATTAACACCGTGGTGGTTGACATGGTGCCATTATTGCTGTTTCGATTGTGCATTGAAAATCCGAGTTTGCTTCCTGTATAATCAAATGGTAGTGTCAATGTTTCTTGAATGTTCTTCTCCGCCCACACGTACTACCTGACACTAAAGTAAAACTAGTTACCAGCTCACCAAACGAGATAATTTGCTGTAGATGTCTTTACTCTTGGCAGGTCTCATTGTTATTGAGCATGCATTGACTCTTTTCATGGCCCAATGTTGAAGATTCAAGCATCTTGAAATGGTCTCACCCCAAATTTCTCATCGCTCTACCCTGTTACCGTTCGTTAAGAATCTCCTTGTTCGATATTTTCATAAGCCCGCGCCTCTGCTTTAGGAAAGCTCTTGTTGCGTTGCACAACGTTCTGTACCACAATTTTTGCACTTACCATACGCCAACAAAGACAATGCTATGGACATGTTGAACTGAGCCACACGATTCAGGAAAGCAAAAGTTGTAACACCTGCTCCGTACTCTTCATTGTAGTCTGAGTTGTGGCCCTGATCTGTCTAACGCAGTGAAGATATCCTACAAAAACGCTTTTCGGACTAACCCTGTCATGGTTGTACACTGCGCCAGAGGGCTTGAAAATATATCATTCATCATACGACTATTCATTAATTAGACCCTCCTTGCATAACATGCAATTAAGCCACCAGACCACAGGCTGACGCTATGGGTGACGATTTACGCAGTCCATCCCGACAGGTTCTCCACACAACTCAGCTACCGTTGCTTGAGGTCAGACGAATACCACATCTCAACCACAAGGCGCTGCAAGTACAAGTTCGGGACCAGGCTTATCAACTCGCTCCACAGGGGATGTAATGTCAACTTTAAGAAGCAGAGGCCACTCATCTCTGACCAAATCGGCATCCTCTCCGAAGAGTACAATTGCGCCCACTTCATCGAAGACTTCAAGTAAGCCGCAAGTTAACACCTTTACTTCAAAAGCACCCTCTCTTCAACCTCCGCCGCCTCCACCGCCAAAGCCTACCGAGGGAATCGCTATCATGTACGAGATCGCTTACCGTCCCGCAGAAAGAGGTGGCCGAGGTGGGCGGTGGGTGATGTTGGAGAGAGATGGAGAAGACTCGGCGTTCAAAGTATGCGAGGCTACTCGTCTTGGAGAAGCGATGCCGAGCCGTCCTTTGACGGAAAGGCCTTGGCCAAACAGCATCCAAGCTTTGAAGTCAGCTCATGGCCATAAGAATTGCAAATATTATGGGAACGACAGTGGGGCAGGCAGGTTATCGTGTGACGGGATAGCCGAGTTTGCTTGTGTCAAGGACCCGAACTCTGGTTCAATTACAACGTGTGGGCAGGCGATGAATCAGAGGAGCTTGGATGCGAGGGTTATATGTTGGTTCTCTTAGTCTGAGAATGCTGATTGACTCCACTTCCGCAATTCTATATGTATTAAAAAAAAAAACAAAAAAGATAGCGCTTCAATCGAAGTCGTTAGATCACAGCAGCTATTTTACCTGTTGGCAAGACGTCAGTACAGAGGCACATATTTTTATGAGGGTTAGTAATCAATCATATAATAATACACACCTTCACACATTATTTCACTAAATTTAAACCTCAGAGTGAATTTCGATTTAGAGAAAAACTAGAGGTATACGTGCTGATGGAACAGAAGTGCAAGCCAGGCTCTAAAGAGGTATAGAAGACCAAGGTACCTCGGCAGGTTGGGCCCACAATAATGATGACAGCGGAGCCGGCCAATAAGAGAGCAGAGATCACGACGCACTAGGTAAATAAGGGATTTCCCCGGATACGTTGGGAAGAGCTAGTACATATCCTGAGACAATCATTCAATATAATGATATGATCACGATTATCTATAATAAACCCGGCTACAGAAACTCGGCGCGGCCTACCGACTCAAGATGCAGGCGGATAAGGGTTGCTGGACTTGCAAGCGTAAGCAACTGACCACGACGTCATCGGGAGTGAGCTTCTTGAGTACTAACTCCCGTACTGAGCCAGAGAGAAAGATTGGCTGTGACAAAAGCATTCCGCACTGCGATAATTGCGTCCGAACGAGGAGAGAGTGTGCTGGCTACGGGATTCGTCTGAACTGGCCTGACCAGCTTCGCAGCAGGGAGAAAGATCTAATCGTTTGCCCCGTGGTAGAGATAGCGAGTGCTCAAGAGCACCCCCAGACTCTTGGGACTAGGTTCCTCAATACCACTCACAGACACTTCCGCTTGGCGACCAAGCGACGCGTCACGTGGCATCAGGTCATGCACCGAGCATCTGTTGGACCAGTCGCTTCTGTTACCCTTTACTCACCCCAGCTAGATGAAGACGGCATGCTCCTGGTTTACTGTGCGGACCTGACTGGTTACTTTACGAAGATTTCTGACTGACGGTTGCAGACGATCAGATCATAGCGCCAATGTGCTCAACGACCCGGGCGGCAAATGGCTTTCGGTGTCATATCCTTCCAATGGTATTATCTTCTCGGGATGAATCCACGCAAGCCTTGTGCAGTGCGATTCTAGCGATCGCAGCTCATCATCGCCAAGGAGCCGACGCCGCGTCAAGTCACAAGATTAAGGCGATCCACGGACTATACAAGACTCTCGACAACTCTTCTCTCAGTGCCGAAACTCATGTGGCTACTACAATGATGCTGTGCATGTACACTGTAAGCTCGCGGTACCTGAGCATTGAGCTAGACGTTCTCTGTTAACAATAACCGGGTATTTGATGAAAATGAGGCTCAGTTCCAATTACATCTAAACGGTGCCAAGCATATGCTGATGAACTCAACGTCATACCAGCGACGTCAACCCGTGTTCCAGTTTCTGATGGGGTGGATAGTTTATTACGATACTCTCAGCGAGTTCGCACAACCTCACAGGAGCACTCTCAATGACTTTGGCCAACTTGAACATTCCGGCAAGCTGCAGACTATGCCTGGCGAGGGAAGTGAGACGCTTGCACGGATCTACGTTTTGCTAACATTAACAAGGTCATCGGTCTATTTGGCTGCTCTGTCGAGGTCTTTGACAACATATCGTCTATCAACCAAATACGCACAATGATCCTGAAGTCGGAGAGGAGCGACATCAAGAGAAATACAGAACAGTTCAGGATCGTCTTGCAAGAGAAGCTGGAGAGCCTAGTACACTTCCTAAGCCCTGACGAAGTTGCACACTCGACGAGCGCCCAGATTCGAGATGCATTAGCCACTGCGGAATTGTATCGCTTGGCAAGTCTGCTATACCTCCAGCGTGTCGTTCCTGTCGCAGGCGACGAGAAGAAGAGAATTAGCTACTTGGAACAGGCATACGCAGCGATGAAGGAAGTGCGTGTAGCGACAAGCCCCTGGCCAGTGTTTATTTTCGCATGCGAGACGCGTTCGGAAGAACAGCGCATTCACATACTTGACATCCTGGACCGCATGGACAAAATTAGGAATGTCGGGAACGTACGTGTTATGCGGTCCGTGATTGAGAACGTATGGATACAACAGGATCTGCGGGAATTGGTAGATGCAACGGGAACGATACCATGGTGGCTCTGTATTGAGTCCGACCTGCCAGTACCTTGGTTTGCATGAGAGAATGGATCAGTTCGTTCCTACGACTAAAAAAAAAATGAAATTCCGTCCCTTCTAGCCACGTGCTTGCTCACTCAACTTGACCTTCCTGTTCAAAGTTTAGCGTTTGCGAAAATCAGCAGCTAAGGCACAATAGTAGAATCAGAGTGGTCAAAGATGATGTTATGTATGTTCCTATAATCTTCTATAAACCATATCGGTCTTTCTGAACTTCATAGTGCATCGCCCAGATAAGGAAACCTGCAGAAATACAGCGTCGAAGGGCGATAACATTTGAAGCTGGGTCGGAGCTCAGAAACTGTGCCATTGGCCCCGTGACAGACTACATGCAGTGTGAGAGTCATGGACATTTGATACTGAACCAGACTTGCTTCCCATTCCCACCTCGCCCTAGCGCCGTAGGACTTATTGGGATCAATCATAGCATTGGGCCTGCAAGCTTGTGGTGATTATACCCACTTTACACTTAACAGACACCTTCTTCTGCTCACGTCCATACCCCCATATGCATATTGCGCTAACTCGCTGGGAAACTGCCACCCCGCTTATCCTGTACTTCCCGAACACCATTAGTTCATTGACAGGGAACAGGCTCGCAAACACTTGCCCGCCGCATCGAAGCCAAGGGAGACAAAACCAGGCAACCAGCTCGGTGCGGCTTTCAATTCCCATAGCGTATCGACCCTGCAAACGATGGCTATATAAGCCTCAAAAAGAGCAGGAATGTTCTCCTCAAGACTGCTCCAACTTACGCATATTTCCCCCTCGTACATCTAGTCAGTTTTTCCCTCGCGGACCAAGACTTACGACATGCCAGCTCCCGCCACTATCAATGCACCTCAGCGTATCCTACAACTCCTATCTGAGCTTCACCAGAAGTCACTGGATCAGGAGGCTGTCCTTTCCAAGACCGGCAAAGTATTTTCCTCTAAAGCTATCGGCGATTTAGAAGACCAGCATGGCCAGGGAGAGGCCAAGAACGAGTTTGACAAGCTCATGCTGGATAAGTTCGTCGCACTGGATGAAGACAAGTGCCGGTTCACGTACCAGCTAATCAACGCTATGGGCGCCACCAATGTCGTGGAAGCCGGCACGAGCTTCGGCGTCAGCACCATCTATCTTGCGCTTGCTGTAGCTCAGACCAAGGCTACAACGGGCAAATCCGGAACCGTAATTGCGACGGAAAAAGAGAGGCAAAAAGCTGCGATTGCGCGCGGCTACTGGAAAAAGTGCGGTTCGGTGGTCGAGCAAGAGATTGACTTACGGGAGGGGGATATACTCGAAACGTTGAAGCAGGGGCTTCCGTGGGTTGACCTTCTCCTTCTTGACAGTGAGTTACTACTCTGCTATAATGTGAAGAGAACTCTGTGTGGCTAAACTGTTGATAGTTTGGTCGGCGCTCGCTTTGCCGACGCTTAAGACAGTTCTTCCTCGACTACGACCTGGCGCGGTGGTCCTGACTGATAACACGATCTCAGCGGCGGACGGATACAAGCATTTGTTGGAATTCTTGCGAGAGCCGAAGAACGGCTTCCAGAATATGACTTTGCCATTTACCAGCGGATTTGAGATGAGTGTTTATCTGCCGGGAGTAATAAGTTAGATGTTATGGGTAGCAAAATGGGTTGAGGAATCTTGCTGCGTTGCTGCATTATAGTACAGGGCTGTATGATGATGCGCGGAATGACTAGTCATAAATGATACAAAGAATTTCTTAATACTGTCTGCGAGTAGATGTTGCAAATTTCCTGATACATGAGTGTACGTTATACGGTAAAAATTTGCTTCTATCCTCTCTTGCTATTCTCGAAAAGCGAACCCCGAGCCAGCCCTCTTCCGTCTTAGCACTCGTCTGAAGAATGGGCGGCCTCTTAGCAGGTCCGGTGGACGGATCTGAAGATGGGATTATATCTCTCAGTCCCGCTCTGAATATGTCTACTACAATAACCGAACTTCTGCTTAGCATTGAGCCCACAAGGGGTCTGATGTGAGTCACCAACTAGTGACCTAATCTGTCGGCTGAAGAGACTAAGATGATGCTCGTGTAAGAATACCCCAGTCCGAGCACGCCAACAGCTTTTCTGAAGCTGCAACCAGGTGGAACATCCCTGAGATCGATCCACTTCATGGAGAAAGATGGAAGGCATTTGCGATCAGAGCTTATCAACGGGAAAATGCCATCGCATCACTTCCAGACGTAATCATACTTTCTTCAGGTTCTGCTGCGAATATTTAACTATCAACTGCCAGCAGATTTTCGGAAGTCATATCAATGCACGACTCACTGTTCCGACTTACATCACAACCAAACCCGTCCTTTTGTCCAACATGTCACTGCCTACCCCTCTGCCATACTCCAGCGTCCTAGATGCTATAGGCAACACCCCAGTTATCCAACTCAAGCGCAACGTCCCCGAACGTTGCGCCGATGTATTTGTCAAGCTGGAGTTCCTAAGCCCAACGGGCTCTTACAAAGACCGCATGGCCAAGTCAATGGTTGAGGAAGCCGAACGCCGTGGTGATCTCACGCCCAACATTACAGTTGTCGAAGCGACCGGCGGAAGCACTGGATCCTCTTTGGCATTTGTTTGTGCGGTGAAGGGGTATAGGTTCCTAGCCCTCTCATCCGACGCATACGCAAAAGAGAAGCTGCAGACAATGGTTGCCTTTGGGGCTACGGTCGATATTACGCCCAGCCCCTCTGGCAACACCACAGCGGATCTCATGGCATCAATGAAGAACCGTGCGGCACAATTGGGTTCGCGCGATCAGTTCCTTTACACCGACCAGTTCAGCAACCGAGATGCACTTATTGGATATGCCGAGATTGGCAACGAATTGGTCCGCCAGTTCCCTGGCGGGTTTGACGTGTTCTGCGGCGCGTTCGGGACGGGAGGTATGGCAATGGGGGTGTCAAGCGTTATCAAGACGCAGAACCCCAACGTCCGCGTGGTGCTACTGGAACCCTCGTCGGCGGCTTTGCTGACAGAGGGCCAGGGCGGATCACACGGTGTTGACGGCGTCGCGCCAGGCTTCATCTCCCCTCATGTTACAAGAGAATTGTACGATGAGGCCCGCACTGTGGATGAAGGCATCGCCCGGAATATGTGCCGTCGATTGTGCAGAGAGGAAGGCCTGATACTTGGGACATCTTCGGGGATGAATATCGCAGCAGCTATTGAAATCGCGAAAGAGCTGGGGCCAGGGAAAAGGATAGTTACGATTGCTTGTGATACCGGACTCAAGTACTTATCTGGACCTTTGTTCTCGTGAACGCCTACTATGGTAGTCGGTGTCACATCATACTGATCACTGCGGGTGTTCAACAAGCTATGCAGAAACTTACATGTATCTCCAGGAAAAGGATTTCATAGTCACAATAATTTGTTGTTAGATACGAGGATACAATCACGCATAGTCTAGATGCTTCCAGCTTGAAATGCATGCACAGACTGACAACATTATTCGATGGCATGTTGTAGGTTTCAGAAAGCAGCCGCCACTCTGATTTACACACATGTGGCAAATTTAATGACTGCAGGAATTTTGCGCTCAAGACTGTATGTCACGATGCACCCTTCTCCTTTCCTTCTCGATACTTGGCACGATGCCCTCAATTATCATGCAGCATGAGCATCGAAAGTTCAAATTACTAACATGTACCAAGATTCTGTCAACATTCACATTCAAACCTTCACCGCCACTCGTGTGGCAGGAATTCCTCAATCCATGAATGGGATGGATCCTCGACCATACCCAAAACCACACATTTTGCAGACGCCACCGACCACACACCTCGAGACCATGCCGGTAAGGAAAAAACTGGCCTAGATGCGCAAGTTTCCCTGGCTGCATCATGTCCCCGCCAGCCGGCTCTACCCGTTCTGATGCAGCAGCCATGCATTCATCCGTTGAGTGGCTTGTAACATTTTACCATTAAAATGGCAAATTTCCTCATTCTCAAGTCTCACCTCGCAATGAGCGCCCATCTGTACTCAGAATGGCCTCATAAGACGCAATCCCTTATCTCGTTTGCCGGCATTTTCTTGTCCAGTGTTGGACGAATAACTGTTTGCAGGGTCCGAGAACGAGAAAGACACACACAAGATGGTATTTCAGCTGGACCCTTGGAAACGCCACAAAATCCCCCGCCAGGAATGTTTTCATCGTGTTCCGGGTTACCGTGAACATCAACATGCAGGACCACGGACCGGGCCACGCGCGGGGAACCTGCCTTGCCGCCCTCTAGCTGCAAAAAAGTGAATTGCCTAGACCAAACATTTGTGCAGCTGAGAAACGACTGAGACACTGGACGGCACGCACCTGGTAGACGGGCACGACGGTTAACCACGCGGGATGGGTTACCCCGCCCGCTTCTAGTCTCAATCCGGCGAGGGATTCTCAGAAATTCTAAGGGTTCTCACGATCAACTGACACCGTTCCCGTTTGGAGCTGAGGCAACATCACGAAAAAAAGGCGTCATGAAATGGCATGATGGGCAATGCAGCTGACGGAGCCTAGAAGGTCCAGAAGCAACCGCAGGAGAGACATCGTGGAACTCTAAATGGCACGCAGCTAGGGGCCTACGGCAACACGAATGGCTCAACATGCTCGGAACAAGGAGCTGAACGCCTTTGCTGCATTTTGGCTTGGTGATGTGCTGGTTTTTGGCCGCATCGAGGAATCGAGACGACGGATTCATTCCAAGAGTCGGTGAAGGTTGAAGCGAACGGAAAACTCAGAGAATCTTGTGCTTTTGAGCATGAGAACACTGCTTGGTTTCGAGTATAAGAGGAGAGATGAAAATTGGGAATTGGATATTCTCTCTTGCTCATCATCACTCACTTCACTCTCAATCATCTACTCTAATCATCACACTCAACATTTGAACAACTTCCTTCGCTTAGTCGAAAAAGTAACAATCTCATCAAGATGTCTTCTTCCCAGCAGCCCCCTAGGCCTCTCAGCCACCTCTCTCCCGTCCCAATCACCCAGCAAGGTCTTCAAGCCTTTTACGACAACGACAGCAAGCAGCTCATCCTCAGAGCCCAGGGCAATGCTATCCACATCACCACTGGCATTGAGTTCAAGCGTATTCAACAGTTCGTTGGCGGTCTCCTCTTCGAACTTCAGGGATGGGTTGGCCCCGTCACCCACGGAACCCAGCCTTACGAGATTGAAAACACTTTCAACATCGACCTGCCCAACCGCGTCACCCCTTCCGGCTACGTCTTCATCAAGGGCGCCAACAACGCCGAGTACAAGGTCAAGATCCAGCCCCTGTTGAAGGATGGATCCAGTGGCAACAACAACACCGCCTCCAACGTGACAGCCAGCTCCGAGGCCCCCAATGTCAAGCTCATTCCCCCCACGGAGCCCATCATCACCCAGCTCGGCAAGCCCATCACAGTCCTTCAGAGCGACCAGTTCACCGGCAAGGGAGGCAGCGTCGACATCACCTTTGATGACCGCTTCCTCAAGCTCACCAACGCCCGCGTCACCGACAACCAGATCGAGTGGACCTTTGACCCTCTCCAGACCGGCGACACCGAGGTCGACGTCTACGTCTCGCAGCACCAACCCCCCTTCACCTACCGCGTAGTCCACAAGGTCATCATCAACCCGCCCTCCAACACCAAGCCCCTCAACGCCCTGGCTCTCTTCTCCGTCAACCAGGCCTCCAAGGCCGTAAACGACACCACCGAGTCCGACATTGCAAAGTCCGGCGACAAGAACTCCAACATCGTCCTCATCTCCTGGGACGATATCGTCACCGCTGGACTCGACATCATCAAGAAGCAGTACCCCGACGCCCAGCTCCTGACCGCCGAGGGCAACGCCCCGGGCGCCCAGAGCCCTTACCAGCTCGCCAATGTCCGCTTGAGCGCGCGCGTCGACGGCAACAAGACGGCGACCATTCGCAGTCTCGGTTACTACGACTTTGGCCCCGTGGAGACGGGTCCCCTCTGCCTCGGCGTCACCCCCTTCAACTGGCCCGTCAAGATTAACTCCAACGACGCCTTCTCCATCCTCCGCAAGGACGGGTACAAGCAGCCGGTCGAGAGGCTCGTGCTGTCCCAGCCCGTCATCCGTGACCTCGACCAGCCCCTCTACACCTTCATTGTTGGTGACTTGAACGTTCAGATTGGGGCTATTGATGGCAAGATCCACAGCCCTATCCGATCTTAAGTTGATACAAGTCAAGCTCCAGGAATGACTGTAGTAGGCGGGTACGGGTTTCGACAACTACTAGTCCCTGATGTTGCAACTGGTTGGAATGAAGGAATTCCTTTTGTTCAAAACTCTGCAGACTGATTTCAAAAGTTACCTCAACCTCGAGGACAAACTCCCACAAACACTATCGTTCCATCGATATCTCTATAGTTATTAACATAATTCAACATTTCACTCTATGTATGCTGTTCGTTAACAACCTCGATATACCCATGATGTAATCTATGACTATAGCCAGCGATCGAGGACATCCACTGCTACTGACGTTATTGGCGTCGAGTTGATCATCATGTGTTGAGTGGTGATATATACCCTGGTCAAACTCAAATGCAACCATCTAGTCAAGGCTTCGAAAGCCAAATGAATATTGGGCAACTCGTACGGACTCTACTGCAAGTCACCAATGTAACTTCGTTAGCAATTGACAATTTTTACTCAGGTTGCCTGCGAACTGCACCTTGCAAAGTTGATCTTAAGAGTGTACTTGTATTGTGCAGGCGACACAAGTGTCATGTCAAAGGGCACCCCAAACTCGAGGAGATGATTGAGGAAGGTAGTTCATAAGGTTCCATAAGATTGTCTGTGGCGCCATGGCCAGACGTTAGCCAGCCGAGCCCCAGAAACTCCGTACATAATTATGCCATCCGTACTCTCTAGCGAACCAGACTCCAAAGCTCCAGGCCAAAACAAATTAAGAACCACGCTCGATCAGGGCAATACTGCTTGTACTCAAGCCATCTTCTGACGTTTCGGATCTGCTCCCGGTGCGCCAGGAGGGTTGTCCGACGTCCCATTATTCGATACATCAGCCAGGGCCGGTCGTCCAGCGCCGTCTTGCTGCAAAGGACGCTTCATCGTGGGTGGCCGGTACGAGTTCCGGTTAGCCAGGGGACTACCAGCGCCTCCAGGAGCACCGATACGGCGAGTCTGGCTGAACTGAGGGTGAGGCATGCCGGCTCCTCCTCCCGGGCCGGCATTGCCCGGTCTCACCGGTGTGAAGCCGGACGTAGACGGTTGTTGCGATGGGGTTGGCGGGACGTGTTGACCAGATCTAGAGAGCGGCTTTGAGCTCGAGTGGTCTATGCCGGGGGTCATTCGTATGGATGGGCTCTCTGCCTTTGGATTGAAGGCTTGTTGGCCGGCTGGCAGCAACATGGGGGCGTCAGCATTGTTCCCCTGCAGAGCAGATTCTGGGATTTGCTGTACAGCACGTGCAGAAAAGAAGCCGATGGGTTCGGCGGCGGCATTTCCAGCCTGGCCTGGCGTAGTCACACTGGCATTTGCTGAGGGAGCGGACGGAGCGGAGGGGCCTGACGGGTTCGAGGGTGCGCGGGGTTGGTTTGGTGGTTGAGGTCGGTTGCCGTACCCTGTTGGAGGGCCCGGTCGTGATTGTGCTTGATTTGGTGTCTGAGGTGGTCGTTGATTTCCATTGTTTCCTAAATTTCCTGCTGACGTGCTCCTGCCCATTTGACGAGACGGTGCTTGCATGTGCTGAGGTACGGGAGCTGGGGCAACGCTCGCAGCCCTACTGTTCGAGTTGCCGTTCGTTGTTGCTGGGAGAGTAACTTCGTCAGGATGGTCGCCTTCGGAGATGGCGAAGTCCACATCGTCGAAGTCTAGTCATGTCAGCAAAAGAGCTCTGCGCTCCATCGGCCACAATCAAGAGTTCCCACCTTCATCCATCAGGTCTTCGAGAGATTCCGTGGTCTCTAGTTTTACGGGTGGTGCTGGTGGTGCCGCTGGTGCCTTTTCCTCCACCCTTTTGACGACAAAGTCTCGCTGTCTGTGCAAGTCATCTTCGTGGAACCTTTTCGGTTCAACCTTCATCTTGATCACCCTAGCGAGGTAATCCTTGTCGTATATGCAGTTGCCCAACACATTGCCAAAGTTCCTCAACGCCCTCTTCAACGCATCTGTGGTGCCCTCCTTTTTCGCCTTTTCAAACGCCGCAGCCTTGCCCTTGCAGTTCTCGATATGCCCATACCCAATATCCTCGTGAAACGTGCCGTCGCGGAGCGTCACCCTGATGATCACAGAAAGTCCGAGGCTGATCCTCATCGTCTGCGGGTGCTCGTCGACAAAGTCGACCTGGATATTCTGGATGGATGATGACCAGCCATTGAAGCCGAATACCTCGTTGGCAAGAGCGATGCACTTCTCGGCGGTGATGTAGTGGACCTTTTGGCCCGAAGGACCGGAACGTGAGGATAGGTATTCGGGGCCGAGCTGCTTCTCTAGGCGGCTTTGCAAAGTAGCGATTTCCTGTGCCGTGTACTCGCTCATTCGCTTCTGTGGCTCCTCGAAAGGGTTCACCACGATGCTGTGCTGATCGCCCGGGCTATGGTGGAGTGTGTCAGTGGACGAGACGCGTCTTGGAAGTGGCAAACATACGCGGGCATCTTGTCGAACAGGATATCTCCTCCGCAGAAGCCCAAGGGATAAGAATGCTCGAACTGGACTTCGGAGCTGGAACAAATTCCTTCGAGACGGAAGGCTGGGCGTCGTGGGCAGAGCAAATATGGGCTTTCTGCCTAACGAAGTGAGGTTCAGCAGATGTGTCGCGCGTTCACAATTAACGCCTGCCTTGACGCGTCGAGTCGAGCGCGGGAGGCAGCAATGACGGGTAGTCATGTGACCGGGTTATATGACATAAGCCCCCACTAACATTGGCTGGAGCTATCTGCCTGTTCCTGACAGGAGGGCTGAGGCCTAGCCCCCGGGGATATTCGGCAGGTACTGTCAGCGGCAAAGTACCTGAAAAGAAAGCGAGCGGGGGAAAGGGAGAGGACCTGGGCACCCGTGGCACCTGAACCATCACCTCAGAGTTCACTGCCGCTGTCGTCCGAACAGCGAACGGTTGGAGTAAGAGCCTCCACAAACCTACCCCGCTATATGCCGCCAAAACGAGGTTCGAAAGCTTTAATTTTCCTGGAGCAACCCTGGAGCAGCCAAACAGTGTGTGTGGGAGCACAGCGGGCGCGGCCAATGTCAGGTGCATCCCAAGTGCCCGCAAGGTTGGAGGGTCATCTCGTAATCGGTGAAAGGGAAGGAGGATCCAATCTCATCACCACCAGCGAGAGACGTGCATCTTCTCTGACGAGTTTCAGGCTTTCAGCCCTTTCTTGATTCTAGTCCAACTCATACAGAAGGGTTTAGTCTGTTGCTCAAACCACACAACACACGATACACGATACACACCCAAATGGAAAAAAAAAATGAAGTTGAACACGGACAGTCCACGAGAAACATCAGAGGGAGAGGGGGAGAGGAGGTCGGACTGCTTTGGTGTAACATGACCAAAGCGCACGAACAGGCAAAAGAAAACGAGTAATCACAATGTATTGACCAGACGTCTCATCGGGCCTGGGGTTCTCGCTCATAAGGTAGTTGGCAGAGGGCAGAAAAGAGGCGGCCCAGGAAGAACGGCGACGATAATGAGGAACTGTCTACGGCTATCCCGGGCTCGGCATTTGTTAAAGGCTGACGATGATCAGGCACGCAAAGAGGAGAGGGGTTGCATCATGATGACCACCCATACAAATTTGCCCGTACAAAGGTATCTCATCATCAGAGGGCAATTTCTCTTATGAATATAGGTGTTTGTCAATGCCAAACAGACAAACATGCAACCTGCAACAATGCTGCAGGCCTTTAGCTTCCTCGAGTTATAAAGGAGAACGCATGTGGCCATCGCGGATGTCACCGACTCAGTGGGCAGTTGAAACAGATGAGCCGTCTTGGATGCACGCAAACTGAGCGACTCGTGGGACACGTACGCTTGCATGGATACAACGTGCTAATACCTTAATTTCATGCTACACTAACACATGAGGTAGCCAACTGCTGTGAAACCGTTATCTGCTCTGCACGACTCAAGTGTGAACTCGTTTCTTCTCATAACGAGATGCCTCTCTCTCACACTCGTCCTCAATCAACCCACACAGCGTCTCCGTCAAGGGTGATAATTATAAGCCATGAGTGGACTGAACTCTCCCAAGCGGGCGGGATCATCGATTGCTTGCTGTCCCCAAGATGCTGTCCCTGAAACCTAAGAAAACCAAAACTAACTACCTACATGCAAAGCGCGTGACTCGATTTCCTCGTCAACCGCAGGAAGAGGATGGGGGATAGAAAGACCCCAACTCTCAACCACGAGAAGACTCGCAACTAGCGTCAGGAAAGGGATATCATCAAATCAACGAAAAGTGACAAAACGCCGCCCAACCCCTCGTGGTCCTGACAGAAAATGTGTCCGTGGAACCCAAAAGTCTATGCCCGTTGCCGTCCCATGCTGAATGAAGTAAAGAAGGAAGTAAGCCGTCGTTATAGTCGTCGTGATATGTTCAGTGGGTGCCGCCGACCGTGGCCGATGTCGCGGCGATGCTTATTATTTGACGTTCGGATGATTTTGTTCTTTCGTCGTTCCAGTCTCAGATTTCTACCAAGGTCCGACACGCACAGGTGCGCCATATGTGCCAGACATGAGCTGGTTGAGGATTGAGTTCGGATCCGAGGATTGGTTTCCGGGCTGTTGACCATTGGAGCCCCCGTTCGCCATCCAGCTGACGCTCGCCGCCATAGCATTCATTGCCGTGCCCATGCGTCCGCCCGAGATCTCGTGGTGTTTCGCCAGGGTCTGGTCCCATCCTCCAGTGTGCAGACTCAGACCGCCCCCGCGCTTAGCAGCCTCGTTGATGACCAGGGCCCAGGCCTTTGCAATCTCGTCATATGCGCTTTCCTTGTGGTGTCGATATTGTTGCGGCTCCCAGTCCGGAAGGGCGTGGATAATCTTAGTGGCTCCGTCCAGATATTGCAGCGAGACGGTGGCCTGGTTCTCGTTGGGAGGGAGATATTGCGGGGTGAAGTCAAGTAGTGCATCGATAAGAGCCGTCAAGGGGGCCTTAACCCGGTAGTAGGTGTAGTCGGCACTAGTTTCTCCGTATGGAATGGCGGCC